GCCCCGGGGAGCGGGGTGCCCTGCGCCGGGATCGGCCCCCACGGGCGCGGCTGCCCCGCAGCCCCCTGTGCCCGCCCGCCCCGTCGGCGCCGCGTGCGGGGCCTGGGAGTTGCGGCTGGAAGAGAGGGAAACCGGGGAGCAAGCCCCGGTGCTGGCCGGCCGGCGAGGCCAGGGCCCGGCCGCGCAGCGAGCGCTGCCCACCCGCTCCTGCCGCCGGAGCCGGCGCTCCCGGCCCGGGGTCGCTTCTGTGCCACAGGGGCTGCCAGGACTCTTGTCTCTCCGCGACACCTTCGTGTCGATCAGCACTGCCCGGGTGCGGGGAGATGCCCGGGGATTTCTTTGTGTGAAATACCAGGTCTGGTGCCGTTCCCAGATCGCGGCAGCACTAGGCAGCCGTAGGCACCAACTCGTCCTGCTCGCACCCCAGCCCAGCGCTCCATCGGTTCCGATGTAGTTCAGACACAGCAAACACCCCTCTGCCTTGCACGTTTTTATTTATTTTGCCATTTTAATAATACACGAGAAAGCAACTTTAAAACAGCTTTCAAAAACCGTTTATCACAGTTTTTATATTGCAGTGAATTTTAATCTGGTTTGCAACTAGCTATATATACATGAGAAAGCAATGGTTACATGTCTCTGGGGAAAGGTCCAAGCGTGTGTCGGGGGGGACAAATACAACCTGCCCCCTTGGCTTACTGCTGCTGCCAGTTGTAATGTTGAGGGGAACAAAGCAGGACGCAGGATCAGGCCTTTGCAGAGGCTGGGTGAAATCTGCCTTCTCTTGTTCTGCAGCTGGGAACATGCAATTATGAATCCTAAAAGAAAATGCACCAATTACTTGTGTGGTTTCTGTGAAATAAGGTTTTCTGAATGAAGAGTTGGGGGAAATTTTGAGCACAGTGGCTATTACCTTTGTTTCCGCTTAATTTCTAGTGGAACTAATTAAGAATGATCATTACACTGAGGCAGCAATCGACCAGAGCGCTTCCCCAGTCCTTTCTTGGCATCCCAGAGACTAAGATTCCTAAATATCTATCACAAAGGAGAACAAAGCAAACATGATCTGGAAGTTCTTCATTTAGTCACAAACCCAGAGGCAGAAGAGAGGATGGGATATACTTCCTATACAGGGATATTCCTATACATGGATATCTCCAACATAAAGATTATACACACATTATTGACCTTTAAAACCACCTATTAGCTTTATGGTAAAGTCGATAAAGAAATAAGCTGCTATAATATGCTATCTGATTAATCGTATATTTTTGTTTTGATTAAAGGGACACTTGCCACATACAGTTCATTCCTGAATTTACGCACTGTAAACCTGAAACGATCAGAAATTCCCCTATAGAATTATTTTACTTTACTCCYGTGAAACACTTTTTTAGAAATAATAACAAAGGTTTTCAGAAGGTAGATACGGAAATTTGAACGCTTAACTAGGAAACTGTAAACTGACCTGACAAAATGTAAAAGAATAGAAATGTGCACTAAGCAGAGCTTAGTATACTTAGTATGTTTCACGTTTAATAATTTTAAGCTGTAGTAGCGATATCAGAAAGTAGCCTGGATTTTTATGTCTTATGTATCTGGTTGGTGATTGACAGTGTCCCTTTGCAATGGTGTTGGGCTGTAAACCACAATAGTTCATATTCACATGAACACACACGTTGTAAACTTGAAGCGTTAGAGATTAAAAAAAAAAAAAAGGAAACACGTGGTATAAAATCATAAAAAAGGTGATGTGAATGAAAGCCAAGTGGCAGCAGCAGCAGCAGCAGCAGCAGCAGCTAGAACTGCTGGATAAGGCGCCGGCGCTGTGAGGTCTTCCGCAGCAGCCTTCTGTAGTCATAGGGATTATCTTCCGCTTTACCCTCTTCCAGGGGGCTTTCTGAAACTCTCGACCTAGACATGGAGCACAGACAGAAGGGCTTTAGAAATTAAAGTCAAAATATTTACCTTGCAAACCCTGCTAATCGACTGCTTAACCTCCACCTTCAGCAAAGTAAAAAAAGAAAGGGAAAAAAATCAGCTGATGCTCGCAGGCCTCTTCTGCCTCTGCTGCACGGGGCAGGTACCTCACAGAGCCACCTTATACCAAGAACAGGGGAACGCTGAGAACAACCTGCTCTTCTAGGAAGAGGACCTCATGAAAGAACATACTAACAATACTGAGAACATGCAGAGGTGCTTTGCAGTAGWTTTTGCCTGATGGTTTTACTGGGCCCGATTTTCAGTTGATGTAAACTTGCTTGGTGTATTTTTTAGCCTGCTTGTTGGGCTCATCTGACCTGATTTTGTTTGGATGGCAAATTGCACATTGGAAGGCAACTCTCACAGGCTGGAATTGTGACCTGACRTCAGGTATTCTCATGGAGTTAGATTAAAAATAAAACTAAGCTACTTAGAGACAGTCTATCATGCTGAAGTAATGACAGGAATATGTAGTGTTCTACACTGCAGGTATTCACTACCACCAGTGAACTGCCAAGAAATATAAAAATAAAAAATGGGGGGTTAATTTCTCTAGATCTAGGGGAGTAAATTATATATACACACAAAAAAATATATTCCAGAAAGAATAACCCACAGGAAATGTTTATTACTTAAATTTAAGACAGAATAAAGTCTGCCCTCAGATGTAACAGTGTAAATTCAGTGACACAAATTTTTTTTCAGTTTGGCTCTTCAGGACGTAATCAGAGCTGCACATGATGCGAAGCAAGAACTTCCCTTCAGTGAACGTAGCAGCAAAAATCTCACTCATCTGAACCAGACCTCACATTATTCTACAGCTTCCAACTGAAACTGAAAGATTTGATACAATATCACTMTCAAAACCATTGTGGATTTGTTTTTAAAATTCAGCAATCCAGACCTAAAATGTTTTCCTTAGCCTTTTACTTAGATATTTTCCAAGTTCYTTTCCCATATAGAAATACACAAGTATATAAATATCTAAATGTGTGTGTGGGCATGCACGTGAGTGTGTGTGTATAATGCCTGCCTGCACACTAGCAAGCACCAGAATACGATTTCCTCTGCCTGGCAGTGGTCAGCAGGTCTGTGGAGCCTTCCCTTCTGCTGCTTTGCCACCGTGTCCACATTGGTGGCCTCAGCTGCCTGCTGTGGGCAGCAGGAGCAGGAGGAGGAGAAGTCAGGCAGCTGCCTCAGCTGCAAGAACTTCCACAGCCACCTCCCCCCTTTAAAGTCTGAATCAGGATCAGAAGTTTTGGATGGTGCTGTCATTCTTCTCCATTTCAAATGAGAGATTTCCAGCAGAAATCTGTCCCTCTCATCTGGAGCTTGGTAGGGAGGCTGAACGCCAGTCATAGTATCATTTGTCCCTACTACATGAAGATGGGAATTTCTCAGTTCTACAGCTTCCAAATCAAATTTGCAAGATTCCATGATTAGGAAAAAAAATGTGAAAGTCCATCTTTATTTGCATGAATATGTACAGGATGATATTCATATATATATGGACACATATAGATGTCTATGYACACACACATTTTTAAAGTAGGATATATAACATTTATTTTTTCCTACTGTTATTTTGTTTGACTTACCGTTCAGTAGCTCTTAAAGTCCTGCGCTCGCCTGTTTGTCTCTTCCTTTTTGCGGTAGAACTGCTGTCCTTTGAGGTGGAATCAATGGATGAAATTTCTTGGTAGTAGACATCTAAATCTAGCACTTTGCCTAGACTGTCAATAAATAAGTATATTAAGTTAACAAATCCACTTTTCAACATCATACTCAACATTCATAAAGAAGATAACCAAATACCATTAGTTGTGTTTGTGTGTTGAAGGTCTAAAGAAAATAAGACATACACCTAAGCAATCTGTCTCTAAAATGTGACTGCTGTACAATGCAGAGGTTGAGATTTTTGAAATGCTAAATACTGCCTGATCCCACCAGCAAATATTGTGCAGTAGTATTTGGTATGCAAGGATTAGTTCTGGCTTTGTAACATGCGTGTCACTGTGCACCGACAGAATTACATATATACACCAAAAAATCAAGGTAGTACCAGGACTTGAAGGTCAGACACTACTAGGCCCCTTTCAGCAACGTCGTTTTCAGTGATGTATTTCTAACTGCGGTAGTAATTTCATTATAAGAATTGTTCTTCAAAGGACTTATGTTTTAATGACAAAAACATGCTTTAGATTGTGATGTAGTTGTCAAGTTTTTCAGCTCAGCCAACAAATTAACATTCAAGCATTTAGGTATACTTATGACAATCCCTAGAGGTCCCTAAAAAGCAAATTCATCATGGAGATCAGAAGGTCGTAAGAAAATAATAATCACTTATATATTTAACTCTTTCAGGTCTTGTAGGTAAAAAGGCAGTAAACATGCAGAGCTGGATTTTTAAGATAATTTGCAAATGTGACGCAAAGATTTTCATCTCAATTACACAGATTTATGTATCTTAAAAGCRAAATAATAGTGTCTGCACCCCGTTAACTATCTGGGAGATGCTGTAGTCTCCAGAATGGAAAATGAGCTGCTGGTCTCCAAATAAGCAGGGCACATGATCCAGAACTTTTCTTGAAGACTCAGCACATGGAGTAAGGACAGGACTTTGAAAGCAATTCTCTGTGCCCAAAGTGAGCGTAAGACAGGGAAGAGTTTGCTTTGCTGTTGATACTGAATCTGACATCTGCGGATTTTTCTGTTTCTGAAATTGTCTGCTCATCCCATTAGCAAGAGTAACAGAAAACCCAGTTTAAGGAACATGCCCACTACTTGGAAACTGCTTATAAGAAGCCTGAGTTGGAATGGCCTTTTGGCTCTAGGCAGCCCTGCTTGAGCAGGGGGGTTGAACAGGATCATCTCCAGAGGTCCCTTCCAACCTCAACCATTCTGTGATCTGGAACAAGCAGGGACACAGCATAGTTTGCGCGATGCAGCGCAGCTGGTATTTCAGTGAAGAAGCCTTCATACTTGAGGGCCATGAAATATGCCCATGGAAGGTGTCCAGGGCAGCAAGGCTCCGCAACTGACATGCCTTTCAAGATGTTGCTAATTATAAATAATAGTAGCACAAGTACTTACTGGGAAGAGGAGGCATTATATGATATTACACTATACTACTGTTAAACTTATTAATCAGTGACCTGGAGGAATTACAGAATATTCAAGGTTGGAAGGGACCTCTAGAGATTATCTAGTCCAACCTTCCTGCTCAAGCAGGCACACCTACAGCATGTGGCACAGGGCGGTATCCAGGCAGGTTTTGAAGACCTCCAGGGAAGGAGACTCCACAACCTCCCTGGGCAGCCTGTTCCACTGCTCTGTCACCCTCACAGTAAAGAAGTTCCTCCTCACCTGGAGATGGAAATTCCCATGTTTCAGCTTATGCCCATTTCCCCTTGTCCTATCGCTGGCCACCAATGAAAAGAGCTTGTCGCCTTCTTCCCTGCATTCTTCCTTCATGAACTTAAGGGAGGGACAGAGAGCACCCTCAGCAAGTTTGATGAGGATACAAAACTGGAAGGAAGGGCTGATGCACCAGAGGGCTGTGCTGCCATCCAGAGGGACCTGGACAGGCTGGAGAGGTGGGCAGACAGGAACCTCATGAGGTTCAACAAAGGCAAATGCAAGGTCCTGAGCTTGGGAGGAATGACCAAAGGCAACAGTACAGGCTGGGAGTGACCTGCTGTAGAGGAGCTCTGTGAAGAAGGACCTGGGAGTCCTGGTGGACAAGTTGACCATGAGGCAGAAACGTGCCCTTGTGTGGCCAAGAGGGCCAAAGGTGTCCTGGCCTGGGTTAGGAAGGGTTGAATGGCCAGCAGGTTGAAGGAGGTGACTTTACTCAGCCCTGGTGAGGTCCCATATGAAGTGCTGTGTCCAGTTCTGGGCTCCCCAGCACAAGAGAGGCATGGAGCTACTGCAGCGAATCCTTTGAAGGACTAGGAACATGATGAAGAGACTGGAGCCTCTGTCCTATGAAGAAAAAGTGAGGGAGCCGGGAGTGTTCAGCTTGCAGAGAAGGCTGAGGAGGTATTTCACCAATGTGTTTAAGTATCTGAAGGGAGAGGGTCAAGAGGATGGGGTCAGAATATTTTTAGTGGTGCCCAGCGTTAGGACAAGAGGCAACAGCCACAAACTGAAGCACAAGGAGTCTTGTCTGAGCATGAGGAAAACCACCTTTACTTTGAGGGTGACAAAGCACTGGAACAGGTTGCCTAGAAAGGCTGTGGGATCTCCATCYTTGGAGAAGCTCAAAAGCCACCGGCCAGAATCCTGGGCAGAGTGCTCTATGTGAGCTTGCTTGAGCAGTGGGGTTGGACTACATCATCCCCAGGGGTGCCTGCCTTCCAATCTCAACCGTTCTGTGATTCTGTGATACTCATGCATCCTATTTTGTCTCACAAAGCGGGATTAATTTTGCTTTAGATGTTCATGAGGCAGACATACAGCTGAACTGGTAAGTCTGGATTTGCTGTTATACTCAGAGGAAAGGTATTTTTATGATATAATTTATCTGACCTATTTTAGATATCTCTTTTAGGACTGATGAATCATTTTCTTAAAGATGCTTATTTTTTGTCCTCTGACTACAAGAAGGGAATCTACGGCAACTAGATCATTATTGATGTCATTGATGCAGATATCTATATTTTGTTGGCTAAGAGCTATCTAGTGCCATAGGTACAAAATCCAAACAAATCCAAGGCTAGGGCGAAAAGGCTAGGGCGAAAATAGTCTCCTAAAAGCAACCCCCCAAAAAAGAAAAGTATAAATTCATCTCTCCCATTGATACAAACCAGAAATAACTCCAGTGATTTCTGCTATACTAGTACAGAGTTAGCACATGAAAGAAGATGTCTTATGGAATTACTTGTCTAGATTTAAGATGAGTAGAATCAAACTGAGGCCAAACAAACAAACCCCACTAGATTTGGATTTTATTCATGCCAATGAGATACCAATAGATGTGATTTTTTTTCAAGATTCACATGGCATCAGAAGAGAGCACCTAGAACTGACACTCAAGGGGTATATGGACCTTAACTGAATCCCTTAAGCAATGGCTTATCAAGTGCAATTTTAGCTGTGGGTGAATGAAGGAACGTGCTTTGTGCACATATTCTGTGTGTATAATGTCATGTAACTTTATCTAAGATAAATATTTTACATATGGGGTCTTTATCTTGAAGCTCCAGCCAGTTTAGTGCTAAGGGCCCATTCACACAGTTGTCAGGCATCCTGCATTTATGAACAGACTGCCACAACATTACACGTGTCACCAGGGAGCAGCCAAAAGCTTGAGCAGGGAACCACGAATAAATGAAGCTCCTCCTTGTATGTATATCAGAAACTGCAAGCTGTGAATTTATCAGGTCTACCTCATGTAAGGATCTAAGATATAAAAAACAGGATATAAGCACTGTTTCCTTTATCCTACAGATATCCATCAAAATTGGTTCATTACACTATGAAAATAAAAAGATTTCTGGTTGAAATTTCAATGACTGCTTTACTCTTTTTTTCCTAGTTATTAATTATATTACAGATTATATATTCATTATCTACTTGAATATTTTTAAGAAAAGCTTTTAACATTCTCTGTTTATTTGCTAACTAAAAAGAAGTAGTTGCACATTTGCTTTCACTGGAATCTTAAGCACTTACAATTATTTTCTGTATCAGAACTGTCTTTGAGGTGAACTTTAAGTTATTATTGTGCTTCTGTTGCCATGGTAAAGGACCAGTAAAACTAAATGACTGAATTCTGTAATGGATTTTGTTTTTTCAAAATTGCATATTTTAACTTCTTACAGGATGCCTTTCATGTGAATCATCAAATTATTATGCTTTTTACTATTATTGTTATTATTATTTTAACACTTTATTTTCCTAATTGAAATACAGCTGAGGACTATGTCTAGAGTACCAAAATTAAAATAGAGAGATAATGAAAAAAATTACCTGTCTTTCCTTGGTTTCCGTTTTTCATCTTGTATTGATTTCTAAGAAAACATCAACTAGTTAATTTTTTAAAAATGTGCTGAAATGTACATTTTTGCAAAGGTACAATTCATATGTGTTGAGGATGAGAGTTTCTTTTTTTGTTAAATAAAAATAYAGAGAACACAGTTTGCAGAAGAGCAGAACAAATTCCTTGGCAAAATCTCTTTTCAGAATCTTTGTGAATATGAATATCCCTGAGAATGTGAATAGCATTGCTAATCCTAAATTTTATTTGCCATATTGTGAAATAAAAAGTAAAATTAGTTGTGATCAGAACTTAAAAGCACATCTAAAACCTTCAGGTATCTATTGTTGTTTTAATAAAGTTGAAGACACTGTCTACTGAGGCACATTTCTTTGGTGCCATGACAAYTTACTTAAATACAAGGAATGCAGTGGGGAAAGACATAATCCTGTTCAGGGCAGCATTGTCACCAGCTTTAGTAGAATAAAATGGACAAAGCTTCCATTCAAAAAGTAGTATACTAGGTGGCAAAAGTACCATCAGGACATAACAGTCCCATGCAAAACAGAGTGAYGCATAAGGAATATGAATAATTATCTCTAAGTGATTTCTATCTTTACAGAGAAATATTGTGCTGCAGCATCTAAAGCATGACATTTCAAAAGTAATGTTTTTAAGTGCAGTCTTAATTATGTTTGTTGCAAAGCAGTGAAAACTTATTAGAATTAATCAATTGTACCACTTTAAAATCATTGTAACAGGAGAATCAGGAATCCTGATGGACAGACTATTCAATATCCATGCAAGTGCACATGACGTATAATTCTAAAGTGATAGGCTGTAAACCCAAGAAGAAACTTCTAATGCCTTGCATGAAAAAGGGCCATTGTCAGGCTTTATTTATACCTCTGTACCACCTTACTTCTTTGGATGTACAAGGAAATGAGTGAGAATAGAGGGTATCTCATTAATATCTGTAACATGATATGAAAGAAATATCTATTTTTTGCAAGGGGGAAAAGCAAATTTTGCAAAAAAAAAWATGCATTCATTATATTGAATGCCTTAACTTTCAGGTAATCAGTTTGATCTGTGAATAGCTGCAGCCCACTGCAATGTTTATTAAAGCAGAAATGCAGGGGAAAGCTGAGAAGCCCTGGCCATTTCAGGTTAGAGCTCAGCGACTTGCCTGAGGCAAGATTTTAATAACTGGGAGATCCTCTTTTCCCATCTAAGGTTATTAGAAGCTTTTGTTGTTCCTTCTTCTTACTAGTGAACTTCGTGTCAGGAAGGCAGATTTCTCTTTCTCAAGCTCTCTGCAAAACACAGCTAACTGGAAATGAGTATCTTGAAAAATGTCTGGTTAAAAATCTGTTTAAAAATTTTTGTTAACAAAATTCTGCAGTATTACTGAAGTGATGGCTGTTTTCTGATAAGCAGCTGGCCACACAGCAAATTTGCTTTCATAAAATACTGTGTATCTTACTGTAAAGTCTCTGCTTTATAAATATTCATTTACTTTAGAATTACTTCTCAGAAATTTGCAGAATTCAGTATCATGCCTTTCATTTCAGCCTTTAATCTCACCAATCTTGTTTTCCCCAAACAAAGCTTAATCTTACTCTCCAATTTCTTTTTAAGAATACCATTTCTTTTTCAGAATATCGTTGTTCCAAAGCCGTGTTATTTCACAGCTATGCTAAGAAAATACAGCCATGTTAGTCTTTTTTTGCTATGCCAGACACAACTCTCCCTCAAGGCCCTGGTGACACCTTCTGTTGAAAGGAGAAGCAATTGCTACGGCTAGTTTATTAGCTGGACTCTCACCGGCTGTTAAAATAGGTCACTAAGATACATGCACCTCAAGCAAATGAATTTAATTGCCTTTTTTTTCTTTTTTTTTTTTTTTTTTTTTTTTTTCCTGTAACCACCTTGTGAGATGCTTTTACATTGCCTCTCTCTCTGCTTGCTTTCTTGCCTTTTTATATATTTAAGGGCACTGAAGTCAAGAGTGAAAGCAGACCTTGGTATCTGAACTTGGACCAAGCGCTATATATAGAGATACTCAAATCCATTAGTCTCCTGAGCTGTTTGTATTTGCCAATTCCCTCATAATCGCAATCTGACACATTTGGTGAAGGAAGTTACACTGTGCATACTAATACAGCCCATTTAAATATTGCTCTCTCTGCAAGGCCATGTACTAATTGAGACACTCAAAATAGCTCTCTGAACAAACCTGTTTTTCTCCAATGACTTTACAAAGAAGTGTTGAAAGTGTAAATGCTGCTTATGCATATAATGAATGTGCAGACGTTATGTTACAGAGGTACAAACTGGCCTGACCTGGTGCCCCAGTCAAGACAACTTTGAACCTTAATTGTTTGAAATGACTTGAATTTTGTGGCCTGCCTCCTTTCAGCAGGACCCAGCTTTTATGCTGTATTAGAAAGAAATAAAGAAAATGAGGCCATTAGAAAGAGAGTTTAAGTGGGAACTATCTGGCAGTTTTAACCCACAAAAGCTTGCCCAACTTACATGTATTAGAGTGTAGTAGCTGGAATCCTCTGGATTATTTAATGTCTTGGGCTTCCGTGGCCTCCTCGGGGGTCTCTGCTTCGGGCGAGAGTCCTCCACTTTGGATGCAACTGGAAAAAAGCAGACAAGAGCAATGCTTGTTTCTTCACAGAATAGGAGGCTTTAACAAAAGCAAAAATGGGAATTTTACCACAGAGGGCAAAAAAATCCATTCAGTCACTTTTACTAGTTAGAAATGATTCATGAAAGTAACTGCTTTGGACATTTCCACAACCAGACTGGAAAGGAGCATGGGTTTATTCATTTGAGATCCAACCACCCCAGGGACGCATACCATGTAATTAATGTCACACTGGAAGAGCCCAGCAGTCCTCCTGACCCAAGAGCTTGATCTCTACTCCTTCATGGGGCAGATCTTCCCCAAGGTCTCCTACCAAGGTGGTTCTGTTTCAAGCAAAATTATGTACCATTGGGCAAGACAGTGTGACAGTGTCTGAGAGCTTCAGGGTAATGCAGTTTAGTGCCCTCAAGTTCCAGTCTCTATAAAACCTTTCTCTAAACAGGTAAAAACAAATAAACTAAGAGCAACCACAAAATTAGTCTTGACATTAGGATACAGAGGGATCCTTTGTGCATGATCACATTTTCACATGGAAAGACAAGCATCCATGTACCTCATTCTTTGGGATCACAGAAAGGTCTCTGGAGGGGCTAAGGGACCGTGAATATACAGAGTGGTAGCCCTGGCTTCTTGACATTCAGCATCAACTATGGGAAAAGTCAACAGAGATGTGTGGCAAGTCCTTCAAGATGAAGCAAGAGGGGAGCTGCAGGGCAGCAGGACACTATGATAAGAGATGGGTCACAAGGGACATGAGCGAGGTGACGAAGGAAATCACAGCATAGGGTCCAGGCATGGTGAGCTGTACGTCTTTTCAAAATCCAACGAGGTTTTGGATTGTCCTCGTGGTATCACAGAAATACTTGGRGGAGATTCCATGACAGAAGCCATTTTCTAACTCAAAAATGAATACAGTATCAGTGGAATAAAGATCTAGCTCTCAAAAAAACACTGAAGGGCATTTTATCGATTACTTCTCCTTCGCAAGGAATGACTTTGACTCCATAACCCTGATGTGCTAACTACATGTGATTGTGTCGTAGAGAAAAGACTGTATTTTGCTCTAAAATGGCCACCAGAAACTGTTTTATACTGCAAAAATAAAAACTCTCCCAGGTACATCAGACATCTTTTTAATTAAGGACATAGCACAATGATTTAAAATGAGAAACGATCAGCAATACATCAGTGTTGACTCCTGCAAAATTAGCTGTGTAAGTTTTTTGTTATGTGTGATAAATAAAGGCTTGTAAAGGTCATGGATATACTGAGGAGCCAGAATGAATAACACTAATTTAAACTGTAGTTGGATAATGATTACATTTATTGTTTCAGTTTATTTCAAATGCAGACTGTTTCTCATTTAAAGAACAAACAAATACATTTTAACATTTTGCACTTAAGAGAACAAATGTTTCTTCTAAGCTAGGGTACAAATAATTCACATTAAACAATGAATTTAGATGCAATTTATTCATTTCATCCACCTGTATTAAATATAAATTACATGCATTCAAAACGGTATATCTTGGGTCTGACTGTGCTCTTATATGGGCTGTTGTTATTCTGTTGCATTTCAAATGGGCCACCTGGAGTTATCTGGGTTTCCATTTGCGAYGGAGAGGCAAGCCTTTCCTATTTTATTTTTAAACACCACAGGAGCCTAACTTGGAAACAACAGCTTAAAATGAGCATCAGTTCAGTGATTCAGTGTAATTAAATGGATACACTAACCCCTTGCCTGTGGGACATTTTCGAAAACTGTCTCAAAGATTACAACAACTGCATGAAAACACAGAAAAGCAAACGAAACTAAATTGAAGGCACTAAGAAATGCATAAGGAAAAGGGTCTCATAATACCCAGACACTTTTTCCTGTCCCTTATGAATTCACCATGATGTATGCTGTTTTGTTATTTAATTCATCACTGTCAAACACATAAAGCATTCTCATATTCTAGATTTCAGTTACTCCAACTGAAATTAGCTGTATACTTGTGGCATATGTGCTCTGCAATGAGACTCCTCTTACATTCAAGAAGAGAAAAAAATCATTTTGTCAAGAACAAGAGTTTCAGGGAAAAAAAAGCTCTTTAACAGGCCTCATGCCTTTTACATATGAATGAGCTATGCGAAAGAACTGAGGGGACAGAAATACTATGTGGAATCAGCCATCCTTCTAAGCTTGAACCTGCCATTTCTTTTTAAAATAGCACAGAGGGCTGAAAATGGAATTCTGAATTTCTTCTTCAAATTACACAGTATGCAATTAGTCATTTTGCACCACTGATGGATTTACTTTTCTTTATTTCACCAGAAAGCGAGCTYGTGATTTCCTTCTGCTCTTGTATTTGTGTGTTCATTGTTACTGAAGTAAAACTGATGTGGCAGAACTTGTAGTATTGGACACCTCACTGCACAAATAAAGATTTGTTTCTTCATTAGTTGCTGATACTTCCAGAAATCATTTACTTAGTAGATTTAAGGGTAGAAAGCAAATTTGATACCTGTGCTGGATAAATGGTGAGTTGGATGAGCTTGTTTTCCAGATGGCCCTTGCATTTCTGTAGTAGGCAATGAAGCACAAAGTAGGACTAAAATCATTCATCTATTAATAGGCCAATTATGTTGCTTCTGCAATCCATTACAAAGAAGTTTTCTTTTGGAGCCCAGTAAATTATCTTATAGTGTGTTTTTGCCTAAGGCTTCAAGTATCTGTAGAAGATGGTGCTTTATATTTTAAAGGAAAAGTGATCGTTTTTATCTAGCAAACATTTGCTAGATCTGCCCTATGAGCAAAGGCTGAGAGAGCTGGGCCTGTTCARCCTGGAGAAGAGGAGGCTGAGGGGGGACCTGATCAGTGTCTATAAATACCTCAAGGGAGGCAGTGAGGAGGAGGGGGCTGCTCTCTTTTCAGTGGTGGCCACTGATAGAACTAAAGGAAATGGCCACAAACTGAAGCACCAAAAAATCYGCAGGAACTTAAGGAAAAAATTCTTAACAGTGAGGATGACAGAGCCCTGGAACAGACGGCCAAGAGAGGCTGTGGAGTCTGCTTCTCTGGAGATCTTCCAAACCTGCTAGGATACAATCCTGTGCCACATGCTCTGGCATGCATGTGCAGAGGGTTGGACTAGATGATCTCTAGAGGTCCCTTCCAACCTTAAGGATTTTACAATTTCAATACATATGCTGCAATAATTATTATAAAGAAAAAAAATCTGTCCACAGAAGCTGTGAGCAATTCTGAAATGTCAAGTTGGCCCAGTTGTCTCTMCCCTAGCAGGGTAAAGGAGGTGCACAAAGCAAGACACGCTGAGACTTACTTAAAGTTATGCTAGTGTGAGCCATTAACAGAGCCCCAGAGCTGGAGCACAGCATCGTGCTGAGCCTCCCAGCCCCACTGCCAGCCCAGCCCTTCAGGCATATCTAACAGGGGCTGCTGGCACTGCATTCTCACCTGCCTAAGAATCAGTCTGGAAGATGAGGAGAAATTRGAAACAAGAACACTTGATACTATACAGATACTTTGAGAATAGGAAGAAAGGAAGAGCAAGTTGAAAGGGAGAAAGATTTTGCTCAAACTGCAAGTCCACATAGTCAGTACAAAGAGGTTTTGCTCTAGTGACCAAGATCCTTGTCTTTTGAGCCTTACTAGCAGTGTATATCAACCATATTGCCATCCATATCCAAGAAGTCACACCCCTCTCCTGCCCAGATCCAACGCATCCCATCAAAACACACGTTTCAGCAAGTAATGATGATGAGTTTAATATAAGTGAGCTCATTTTCTAAGAGAATGAATTAATTTTGCAGTCAGCTAAGGCATACAAACAATGTGGCGGCCAGGTAACATCAAAGAAAGTTTAACATGTCTAAGGAAAATGGTACCACAGAACAAAAATCAAAGCAGACTTTAGGTCTGAGCTAGCTTTGAGCTAGTGATGCCACTGCARCTCACTACTGCATCTTCCCAGCCAAGAATGTACCTAGAATGCCAAGTAYGGGCTTTAGCTTCGTTTAAAACTCTTGCTGCTATGGCTGTTTGCTAGGGAGGATTAAGTGAGTTACTCTTTCTTCCTCGGTTGGGACTGCCACATGGACACCACACACTTCTCTGCACCACGCAATGCCATTTGGGGCTGCACAGTCCCTCCTTTCAGGCTAGGCCTATCCATCCTCATTCTACTACTCTTGGCATCTCATTTTGGTAAGTTTTGTGAAATTCCTCCTCTGAAACATTCCTACATAATTTGCATATATTTGGATTAGACAGTGTTYAATTACAGTAGTTATTGCCACTTTCTTATTCAGTCCTCACTGAAAATCCCAAATAAAAAAAAATCCAAATTAAAAAAAGGAATGAAAAATAAATGAGAACAGGGAAAAYGGACTTTAGGACTGGCTCATTTACAGTTAACGTGTGTGCGTGCTCTGAATCACTGAAACTCTAAAGAAAGTCTGGTGAGATCATATTCTTTTTTTTTTCCCCCCAAAAAAAGTCAAGTAGTAGCAAATAATACTTGAATAAAGATGAGCCAGTATCAACAGCCCTTTAAGTCAAACTGTGTCTGCACATTCTGACATATGGTGAWAACCTGGAAGACAACAGTCCGGAGCAGCCAGCAATCATGGATACTAATGTAAATTAATGTATCACAGAAGATTTTATATTGAAGGCTCAAGAAAGAGTGGTTACAGCTATGATAAGCATCTAAGCGATGAAAGGTCTGTATTTATTAGACCATCTGGAGAAACAGATAGACCCATTTCCRGGTCACTTAAATAAAATGTTATGTGTTTGCTTCAGCAATGTTTCACACGTTCTGGGGGCAGGAAACATAAGGCCAATTTCAGAATAAAGCAGGAAGAAAAACAACAGTGAGAGCAATGACTGTGTTGGATTTGCAGTAGGAGCTTGGAAGTGACCAGAAAAATGAAACATAGTGCCTGGAATTCCAGGACTTGACAACGAGGGGCTGACAGCTACTTTCACTTACAAAAAACATATATGCACACCTTTTTGCTATGCTAATTATACATGGTGTGAGGACGCAATTAGTCAAGTACTGGATAATTACCAAAGYGGGATTTGGAAATTACTGTTGATGGGAGGAAGGATTTAGCGATCTGCAAAGACCAGAGGGATTATTCGGTATAGATCTAGAACTGTGGGACTGAGACCGTTCCAGTTGCATCCAGGAGGAGTTGACAACATTCAGTCTCTCACACCTGGTATTACCAGCCCCACTGAGCACTCACCTCTGTGACATCCCAAYTTTCACGCTCTGCCATGGATCTAACCAGTTCCCAAGACTGACCTTCTACATGCTGGTTGCCACAGCACCCTGAGGGACACCACCACTGCAGAGAAGGCCCAGTCAGCAGAGGCACTTGACTGCTCTGCTTTCCTCCAGCCCTGCTCCTGACTGGCCATTCAGGGGCAAAGAGCAGCAAATACTGCTCTGCCGATCCAGTGCTTCCCTTTCCTTGTAAAGGCTGCCCAGGAAACCTGAGCAAATCAAACAGCCTGCAGCAGGAGGAACCCAGGATGACAACCTGGTTGGCCTCRCGGCTTCCTGTCTCCAACAAGGTCCTGCTCTGCCACTGCTCCCCGTGCTGCAGGAATTCCTGTCTAAACAGGATGGCCACAAGATGCCACCAAGCTGCCACATAGTCCTTCCCCTTTTGRGGGTAGCAATAAAAAAAAAATATTTTATCAGAGGAGCTGCTAAGCTCTCGGACTGAGCAATGGCCCACAGTGGAAGGCAGACAAACATTCCTGCCTGCCCTACAGCTGTGAAATGCATTCACATGTTACAGCTGTAAGATGGCATAAAAAATAACTAAAAGTGAAGAAAACATAAATAAATGTAATTAGTAAGTAATTAGACACAGGTAAATAGATGCAGTTTTTGGGAACACCTAAAGCCCAGCAACCATTGCCTTCATAATGCTAGGTCAGCAAAGGTAGCCGAAAAACTGAAAATCTGGTAAACGAAATCTGAATCTGGTAAACGAAATCTTAAAGACGGTAAATGAAAATCTGAAGTGTATTCTTTTGCAAATGTTTTAGTATATAACTTGTACTGCAACACAAAAGGCAGGACAGCAGACAGGGAGGCTCTTCTCTGCTCAATAAACAGCATGGCACTCACCCTGTGTACCTGGCTCATTTTATCATGATAGTCTATAGCACATTATCTCAATTCTCTTTTATGCAGTTATCTGTAATCTTACTGCTTTTCATTCAGGAAGAAAATAAGAAATCCTGAATTTTGATAACTGAATCAACTTTTGCAGGTAATACAACCTAGATGCATAGGGACATGTTTTTATTTGCATATTCTGTGCATAAACATCTGATTAGGTTTAGACAGTGGAGATTTATGATTACGATTTATGACTTGCATTGACAGATGGCAGGTTCTGGAATCCCTTCGCCTCTTGTAGGGCTACTTAAACTTGCAGCAGTGTAAAGAGTAGATGTGGTTTCATTTTGTACAGAACACAAACATTCACAAATGAATTGGGCAWAATGTATCAGTAAGTAATGAGAAAGTAATGAGAATAACTGCTAAAATAGAAAGAAGAGGGGGGGAAAAAAAATCTATCTACTCTTCTCTAGCTTCTGTAGGATAATGTATAAGAACTGAGATTTAATTTCCAAAGAACACATTTTTAATTCTTCAGGTTTACTGGTCAAAAGTTAGCAAACTTTAATACAGAACTCAATACAAATCTGTTAATGACAAATACAAATATTTCCACGTTTAGAGTGAAACACGGAACAGCATTTTTCCATTTCACATTTGTGTTCTCTTGTAGACTTGGGTTTTTGGAAACCAGTTTAAAAAAGATTATCTAAGAACAACCAGTTTACACCTAGAAGTTTAGATTTTGCTAAGATCAAGACCTCCTTTTAGCAGCTTGGCCACTGGAAAAGACCACAAAGTGAGAGTGAAGTATTTTAGGATCTCTTCTATAGAGCCATGGGAATAGAAGGAAGTTTTAGGACACATGACAACCAAATCCATAATGTTATAATGAATTAGRTTTGGACAGTGAGGGCAATACTGGGTCCAATTAGAGCTGCACAGAAGAGAGCAGAGCTCTTCCCCAGAGGCCAGGAACTGTCATCGCTGCAGCAGGATTCATGTCAGCCAGTCACATTGAGGCTGTGCCACGTCAACTGCCACGTCTGCCTTTGCCTTCCCCTACACCTATGGCTCTCGATACAGGCTAAGCAAGTCCTCTGTTAGGTCTGTTCTAAATAAAAAGGCTTGAGTAGTTTAGTCAGCTCATTGCAGACCTCTCCAGAGGGCTCAGGTGTTCGTGTTCTGAATGTGAGGTTTTCCATCTCTATCCTCCCAATACTCCCTCCCACTACCACCTAATCTGCTCCAGGACTAGTTACACTGGGGGAGCTCCCACTGCCCCACTGGAGCAATAGGAGCAAATAAAAATAGGAACTATGCCAATTAATACATACTTATTAATAAATTTAAAGGTCATGTCCACCAACATGGAAGAGAGGCAGAAGTTTCGGTGAACTTTATTGAATTTCTGGGTATCTAAAAATAACTGCTCAGAATATATGTGACAAACTTCTGAAAAGCACCTGACTTAAAAATTTATTTTTTAAGGATATTTCTAGAGCTGCTTGGGCAAGGACTGACAATGGTTCATTTAATAAGCTTTGAAACAAGTTATCAATGATGGGTCTTTCATCTCTGAATCCCAACTGGGCTTCCCTGTTTCTCTGGAAAATGTCTGTTGGCCAAATACTAATATGAGGCTTGATAGCTGAACAGCCTGAATTACATGAGAAGCCAGAGCTACCTCACCCASTRGTTCCCTGATGTTTAAAGACATTAATAGGAGCCATTTCCTGAGTCATGTTCTTATAAGAAAGTTCTGCTAATAAATATGAAGATTGAACATTACCTGATTGACACACATGAGAAGAAAGTCGGACATTAGTTTGCTTATCCTTGGACAGCATCACAGGTCTCAGCTGATGTGACAATATCATTTCATTTAATTTTTGTTGCAATGCTAAGTAGTCTTCAGATAATTTTGATATCTAAAAATGTAACATGGAATTTCACATTGTTATATAAATATATACACATGCTTCAAGGTAAGCAACAGCAGAACAGTGGACTAAACTGGTACAATGGGGCAATGGTGTTGTGTCAACTACTTCAGTGAAACCTCTCAGCACATTTACAGCCCCTTTTTCATCAAAAAAAAAAGGGGGGGGGGCCCTAAACGTGACCTTACTTTTCCCCGCTTCCACAGAAAGTTTTTTGTCTTTACTTCTATCCCCAAGGGATGCAAATCTTTTAGGTCTTAGGATAAGTCTTTTAGGTCTTAGGATAAGGTCTTTTCTACACCAAAATATCCACTTATATACAACACATGGATAGAGAGTATCAGTTTAGGGAGGGAAAAAAAAACGGTTTTCACTGAAGCAAGCACAACATCTTTGCCATTCTCTCATCACTCGGTGTATTCTGGTTAACATATTTAGCTTATAAGCTTCTTACCTGCCGTGAAAAGGCTGCCAAATCACAAGCCTCTTTCTCCGAGCCTTCCTTAAGAGTCTTGCGGTCCTCAGCCTGCATGCCAGTATTTTCCTTAGCTTTTGTTGTCTTGGAATCATTACTTTTAATGTGTGCTGCTTCTCTTGACTCCTTTATAGTTTTCTCTTGATTTTTGCAAGGTAATTTTCCCTCTTTTCTGAGTTGCCCCCTTCTTCTGTAACCCCGGTAATTGCTCTGAATAACCACTGCTGCCTTCTCTCTGTCTTCCGAATCTTGTTTGTCTGCTACAACTTGCTTCCGTGAACCTCTTATTGACTCTTTTCTTATAATTCCTTTATTTCCAGCAGGCATCACCACTTCATGTTTCAGATGGTTTCTCTCCAGGTGCCTGTCAGGCTTGGGATGGACCACAGCACATGCCTGATTTTGTTCATCTGTTTTGACTGTGTCTTGAATAGTTTGCTCATGCTGGTGATCAGGTTCAGCTGTGATTTTGACAGAAGATTTTTTAGGTAACTGTTTCAAAGGGACCTGGTCTTCATCTCCACCAACCTGCTGCTTTGCAGTGTTCTGCTTCAGAGACTCTCTTTCTCCTCTAGTAGATGTCTTTGCGTGTTCCCCCGGGTTCTCTCCCTCCCTAAACTCAGTACACCTGCTATCAATAACAGTATCAGCTTCATCYTGGCTCTCCTTGTTTGCTGCTTCTTCCAATGTAATGTTTTCAGCTGGCTTCACTTGTGCTTCAAAGTATTCCAGAGCAGATAACTCTTCTTCCTCCATTAGCTTTTTTTGCTGTTCCTTTATCATTTTACGGGCTCTATAGCCTCTATAATTGCTCTGAACAATGACAGCTGCCTCTTCTTCAGTATGAGGAGTGGTGCTTTTCACTCTAGCTATAGTTTCCTCATTGTTTTGAAGTTTGGTATCCTCTTTCTTTTCACTAATAGAAGTTGCATTCTCAGTTTGTTCCGTCTTTTTAAGTGATTCCCTGAAAGCAATGGAGTTTGGGAGATATATTATAGCTGAAAGATAGTGACAAGCTTACAACTACCTTTGGTATTGCTTGTGTACTAAATGACCATTTTAGATCTCTTTTCTATTTTTATTTCTAACTATGCACTATGTGTTTCTGCCAGTCAACACTCCTTAAAGTAAAAAGGGATATCCCTATTAAACACCTAATAGAAAATTATCAATCTAGGCTAGGCAATCTAGGTTACATGAGGACGAGTGATAAAAGAGAAAAGAATTACTTCAAAGTTCAACAAAAATGTAAAATGGTTGTTTTCTAACACCTCCACTATGCATAAATGCATACAATCCTAAATGCAGTTACAAAAGAAAACTGCCTCATATCTTCTTGGGGGTATTTGCATCCCTAATCTGCCTTTTCACTATCAAACTAACTTAAGTTCCAAGTAAAATTAGCCACCCACTTTCTTTCCTCTCTCTCTTGAGAAAGAGGCTGCACTCTTTCACAGCCATTCTCCACCTCTCTGGATTAGGTGTGTAAATGGTCACTATCCCCAGAGTCTACAGCTACTGCTTCAATACTATCACTGAAAACAAAACAGAGATGAGCTAAGTGCTATCAGCTCCATTTCACAGACTGGAGCTATGTGACAGAGATATTTAGAATGTGATTCACCTCCCCTAACTACTTCCAGCTGCCTGATAAGAGCTAGYCATTTAGGTTCCTGCTGTTGTCAGGGAGGACAGCTATGCACTTTTCACAGTGACTTATGAGGAGAACAGGCCTCTTCAGATGATTATTTCTTGTATGTGATTCTTCCTATGGTGARCTAGTTCCAAAAAGAGATCCTACTACAGATAATACAAGCATTACAGGTACACATAATAATATTATTAATATTAGTATAGTACAAATACCTCCAGGTAGATGTGTATTACATCTGCATATATATCTAGACTAATTCAATGTTGCCTCACTTTTAGACTGTATTGCTGCTTTTGAGCACCAAAGCTACTGAAATGAGATATGTTTTACTGATTTAAAAGACAGAAAATATGACTACCTTCTCTTCTGGAAATCCTTCCTCTCCTTATATCCCCTGTAGTGAGACTGAATTTTTGTTGCTGCTTTGTTCCTTGACTCAGTTAGTTCTTTTCTCTTTTTCCTGAGTAAGTATCCTCTGGCAACTGATACAAACCAGAAAAGAACCTTAGGCAACAAACAAAGGGTATCCCAAACATATCCTTAACAATAACAGTATTAAATGATAGTATTAAAAAATGAAAATACAAGAAAGAAATAAGGATATACAAACTGAAATGTTGAAATTATACTATCCCACACACCCATTTTGAGATTTTAGAGTACTGGAGCCTTTCTGCATTAGGATACTCTTTATTTTCTTTAGATCAAAAAGACACTAAAAAATGAAGATGTGGAATGAGGCAGCAGCACAATGCCATGGGAGTGCTTTGCCTGGTTCAGGCAGTGGGTTTGATTCAAGGGCTTTCACTTTCCTGGGAAATGTCCTGATTATCAAACTACAGAGGTTATCAGACTGCTCTTGCACAAGCATAGAACTCTTTTTTTTTTTTTTTTTTTTTAGCTGAACAGCTATTGAAAATGTTATAGCTCAGCACTTGAGGCAGGCCTTGCTTATGCTCCTTCTAAAATAACTGCTTATATAAAATGAAAAAGTCCAGCACAAAAGATGTCTGGGGGGAGGAGTGGAAAGCAGAGGATTAGTGCCCCACAGCAGCTAGGTGCCCTGAGGCAAGGTGGGAGCCACAGCTTCCACAGGTTTTGGGTCTGAACCAGGAAGAAGAAAGACTGGGAACATGGGTCTCCCACTAGACGTGTAGGGGCCTTCTCTATTACACAGTTTAAGGGGTGGAACTGAGCTCCAGATTAAGATAACTGAATTTAGTTATGTGCATGAAGTTGTTTACACGTGTCCTTATCTCCAAGCTCCCATTAGGTTCAATGGAGCCTACAGAGGATGGACTCAGCTGACTGGCCCCTTGATCTAGTTGGCCACACATGGCTGTCTGGTGCCATCTGAAGTGTTCTAGGCCAGCGTGGGCATCCACAAGCAGCTGGCAGATACGAAAAGACATGGAGAGACAACAGTTGGCATCCCATATGGATACAACTGAAGATGAGAAAGGATAATTTAGGCAATCTTAAATGGTATTAGATATCAATATGCAGGCAAATGAGCTSAGCGTTAGGTGCTTTAGAGTGAAATGAATCAAATGCGAGGCTCTCCTGACTGTAAAAGGATTTGTGGCACCCAGATACTTTTAGTCATCCACACGGAGGTGGATTAGAAACTTTTTCTGATTCCTTACCCAGTTTGCACCATAATTCACACCAGCTTAGCCTCCATTAGATGTAGTGGCACATCAGTGTAAGAAGCATTTTGTGAAAGGGATATAAATTACATGTTGGTAACTGGATGTAGGGAAGAGGAACCCAGATACTTATTTGAAGCAACACAGTTGGGTTTTATACCGCACCTTGACAGGGCCTTATAAAATTGTAAAAGATGAAACAGTGTGGAAATAGAATCCTTCCAAAGGTTATTGCATTTCCTGAGCCACTTCTCATTCCGCTACCACAGAAGAGCAACTCAACAGGTCTCATTTTGAAATAAATCAAGTCACATGTCAATACAGGTGTTAATATAACCAAGTCGATACAAACCTTATTGAAGAGTTTACCTGTGAAATTTGCTAAGACCTGTTATGAGCTGTTAGCTGTATAGTTTTCAAATTGGAAAAGGGTTTCTGAATGAGTTTTTGAAATAAATGCTGAAAAATGCCTGTGAGAGCTAAGTGAAAATGGATTTCACCCTTTTTTGCATCAAAAAAATTTGAAATGAAGCTACAACAGAAGAAACATTGGTGTGATAGCCAACAGAGCAACGTGATAAATTCATACATCTGCATTTGCTAAATATCCTAATATAACTGAGGASTTTTACAACTTTGATCATTTTTGATCCTTTTAGATTTAATTCTGTTTTTAGATTGTATTTTACACAGATAAAGTTCTACTGACTGCAGTGAAGTGTTCTTMAGTACACACTAAAATTGACTTAAGGCAGTTAACAGATACACCCAACAATGATTAAAAGCAACACTAGTGGGGTGTATCTAGCTATGTAGACATATCTGAGATAGCTTAAATCTAGGTAGTGTGGGTAACAGCCTGGGCWGCACCAGCTTGTATTTGGGGTAGCCCTTTTGTAATTACTGAAAGTGCCATGCAGGTTTGTGCCACCTGATTTTAGGTTGGTCTCTGCTTAGTAGTGCTGCCAATTTCAGAGCTAGCCTAGAGCTAGTTCTGGCTCTTACTTCTACAGAGAAATGGGAGGCAGTGAAGAAAATGGATGTTATACAGCATATGTCTTGAGTTCAAGGTGTTTACTGTCACAAAAGAGAAGGAGTATTTTGTTAGGCTGGACTGAACAACAGCAAAAAAGAGTCAGAGAAATGAGTGTAATTGCATGTAATAATCTTAAATGTAAAATCCATTACTGATATGTAATGAATGTTTTCTTAGTGCAACAGCATTWGCACACATTTTACATGCACACCGTGACAGAAAGGACTTCAACAGGGCCAGCTAGAATATTTAGACATATTGGACTAGGAGTGAAAGGTCTTGCTGTGGAATTATCCCAGCCCACCTCACAGCTGTGCAAAGCTGGGAGGCATTGGGATTAGGAAATGGAACACACTGACCCAATTCTACCACTGCATATGAACATATAATAGATAAATTATACCTAGGAAGGTGTAAATGAACATAGTCTATCAGTGTAGCTACTTAATAGCAAAGAATCTAGGTCAATGTATTGTGCATAGAAAGCACAAGAAAGCAAACAATTCTTACCTGCTTGAAGTCTTGTAATACATTTTTCCAGTTTTTGATTTCTTTTTGCATTTGCATATTCTTTACGAGCAACAAACCCTCTGTAAGCTGAAAGAATGATAGAAAAATAAATAATCCATTAGGTTATACAATAGGCTATAAAAATAAAAAGACACTGGAGGAAATACAGACCTACATTAAAATATTCATAGCAATGTCTTAGCTTTATCTTTTGAAAGATACAGCAAACAAGCACAAGCAAAATAAAAGTAAATACTACATATTATATTAATACAAAATCAAAGTAAAAACTAAATTTTCTGGTGAGTAGGGTAATGAATTAAATTAATGCAAAACAAGAGAGAATCTAAACATGCAATAAAATAATGCTTGAAACATATTAACATTTTCAATTAATGATGTCTCCCTCAASAGCATAATTGGTCTTATTACCTAGGATAGTTAATACATTATGTTTTCATTCTTATTATACAATCTTGTCAGAGCATGGCAGATAGCATTAAGAAGAGTATCATTTATGCAGTCATTTCCCTCCATTGTTAATATTGCCTTTTAAATGCAAAACTGATAAACAGAACTTCAGTAAAGTGACTGTCATGGTTAACAAAAATTTCTCTTCATATGAACAGATATGATCAAATAAGATGCTCCATCAAAAGGAACAGCAGGAGAGCAGCAAAATGCCGGTCCAGTATGCACATCTATTAACTGTACACACATGCTAGCTTTAAGCAAAAATGTTTTTACGCTATTACCTGACTGTATTTTAACAGCACTTTGTTCCCTTTGTTCTTTCAGCTTTTTGTATCTCTTTGAACCCAGCCATCCTCTGACATAAGCTTGAATCAAAATAATCATGTCCACTGTCTCCTTTCGCATTAAATTCAGCTGTTCCACATGATAGTATTTGAGGAATACCTGAAAAAGAATAAGCAGAGAGGTAGTGGTTTTGGTAAATGTGGCTTAGACAGATTTGCTCTCCTAGTCCCTGGATTTCCTCAATCCATTTAACCTCAACAAGAATTATATATTGTTTTTAGATGAAGACGACGTCTTTTYGTAGTATTATCTAAATGATCGTTTTTGTTAAAGATAAAAACAATTGGATTGCTTGTGGTAYTATTTTATCTTATTCTGCCTTCTGACATCCTTCACTGGTCCCTGCTTATTCATGCTTTCACTGAAAGATAACTTGAAGCTATAATTATAAGTCAATTTTTAAGACTATGAGGTTCACAGTTTTGCTGAATTCTTGAATCTGATGTATGTTATGTAAGAGTGATCCAAATCTGGAATCTTCACCATTCCTGCATTCCAATTTATAAGGTGCCGATTAATAAGGTGCTATTTGTTTATATATCAGTGAACTATACTCAGCAAAATGTGTGTTTTTTATCTTTTTATTCCCTAACCAGTACAGACCAAGAGCTATCCCAATCAAATGCTTGAGAAAACAGAACAAGCCCTGCAAATTAACAGTCACGTAGTGCAATAACATAGTTACAAGATAAAAAGAATTACTTTAGTTTTTCCAAGCACCCAGTTGTCGAGGTGAGCTTTTTCCAGGATGGCAGCACAGGTTTCCGGGCTGACTGGAGGATCATCATTTGTTTTGTAGCAGATAAGGTAATACCTAGAGGCAAACAAAGGAAGAGACACAAATACATTTAAGCCATTCATTTAAATAAGTGTAACTGTTGCATGAAAGAAAACAGCACTAAAAAGAATAAAGCCACATCCTAAAAACCTTGCTGTGATTTATATACTGTACTAAGACCTTTGGTTGAAAGTGGGTGAGTGATATTTTGCACACCATGGAGGGCAGGTAAGACTGGAAGGCTTTTKAAAAAGTGAGTAGCCCAAGTAGGGTAATTTGCCAGTTTGCTGCTCTCACTCTGCATACTGTGAAAGTGACTTCAGTGACAAAAGAGAAGTATTTCTTTYATTAGGATTTTTAGCTTAAATTGGCTTATTTCACCTCTACCTTGTGCTAGACCCATCTATGCTTTTGGTTGCTACTATCAGTGAGATACAGCTGAGCTTCTGCTACCTCCTTGGAGTCAGTTTTGTGGATAATTTTGGAACATATGTGCAGTTATGTCATAACATGTAAGCATTTAATTTAGTAGAGCAATTTCCAGAACTAACTTGAGCTGGAAAAACAGATCAGGATGCTCATAAATAAATATCACCCATAACATACCATCACAGCTAGYGGGTAGGATAGTTCTTGTGCATTCCAGGACTTTCCAGGATGCTCCAAAATTAACATTACTTACATTGTTTTTTTTGTTGCTTTGTTTCGCTTTTAATTGAAAAAACTACATAAATATCATTATAGGTATTTCATGACACTGTATTCTGTTTGTTTTTTTAAATGTATTTATTCAGCCTACACATACAAAGCCGAGAGGATACAGTCATTATATGAGGACAAATTTCCTCATAAGATAATAAGAAGATAGATAATGCTAATTCCTGCGTTATCATTACCAAGTCCTGCATCTACTTYTTTATTATTATTATTTTTTAAACTACACAGTGTATTGGCATATTTTCACTCTAACAAAACAAATCAAATCTGCCATTATTCCAGGTCTACCTATAATTTTCAATTATTAAAAAAAGAAAAAAAAAAGGTAGGAAAATAGGTATTTACTAAAACTCCTTTTTGTGGGGGTCACCTTCTCAGTGTTGGAGATCTGCACAGCCTCCGTGCAGTCGGGGGCACACTCCCTGCCCAGTTTCCCCATTATGTTCCTCTCTTTAACCTGAACATTACAAATTTTGACAGAAAGCAGCAGCCAAAAGCCACAACACATCCTGATAACTGATAACTATGTTTTCCCTTGCAGCACTTTTCTGAAATTGTAATACCTCCATCAGCTTTCTTTCCAGACATATTGCCATAAACCCATCACTTTTTCTTTCCTTCCCTCCCCACRCACAGCACTAGCTCCCTGTTTCCCATGCAATTTTAAGCACTTTTGTCTGAACGGATGCCCCTTCTTCCCAGTTTTGATTCCTGTTCCATAAGTCGAAGTTCTGCTACAGGCAAATGCTGAGTTTGTTTGTAAAAGAGAAATACAATTTAAGTGCTCAATATTAATTTTGGGAGGTGAAGGAGGAAGACGTAGTTAAAGAGATTATAAAATMATAGCAAGTTTATTATTCTTCTTAAGAAATGACTAATATTCAGAAATTATATTTTAAACAGCACTATGCACGTAATGAACTTCTCAGCCCTAAATTGGCAATTAGCCTAAATTATAATCTGCCCCTGGAGAATCAGATGCTGCACTGTGCTGAACAGTGCTAGAGGAACTGTGGTCCTCCTTGGAGGCTCTTGCTCCAAATTATCTGCTTTAATTTGCAGTGTTACATTTCTATCCCCTATTTCTAAACAAGGCAGTTCTTACCCAAATGCACAGGGAGCCTGAAACAATCATCCTGAGATGCTTCATCTTTCCCCATCAATCCAAAAGGGGTCAACTAATCTTGCACCTGAACTATTCTGTCTTCCTCATTTATTTGTAATGTTTGCCATAGAAAGTTTTTTTTTTTTTTTTTTTTTTTTTAAAGAGATTGTACTAAAGGCAACACTGGTGCTGTGCAAACAGTGAGCAAGAAAGAAAACAGAGAAAAGGCACCAACGTACCGTTTTATAAAGTTGGCAAAGAGTATACGATGTGAATAACCCTGTCTTCGGATTCGTGCCGTCTCCAGAATTCCTGTGTAACGCAGCTGGACCAACACTTTCTCTTTATCAAACTTGTTTGCCTGCCTGTCGTTGTTTGGCTTGATGCACCTGACGAAATGAGGCTGGCCCACGACCATTTTGGATAGCAGGTCCATCAGAGAATACTGAAAGAAAGTCATAAGATATTTGCTACTTGGATATTTAGAATCCATGCATGTAAGGCCATATGTATCTGAAATTTTATTTAACATCAGCAGAACCTTTTACCCATGTGCATTTCAGTTTGGGTGGTACTTTAATGGTGCATGAARTAAAAGGTCCAACAGCAATTATAGCTGTGATGTGTTATCTATGTAGCAGGATACATACTATATGAGAGAAACACTGACTGCAGATGCRCATGGGTATCAAGTTCCACCCAGTACATTCTCATAACCTCTAATAATTTACACATTATTAGAGCACTGCCAATAATTGAACTTCAGCTTTGTTTTTGGAAGCAGTAATATCTTTCCAAATGGCTTTAAAAAATGATGTATTTTTTAAAAGTTCTCTTGATGATCAGCGGATTTAATGTCAGCTGCTGGGTTGGGTCTGCACCACCACTTCATATCAAGTAGTACAGTTAGCAGTTGGAAACATGGCACATTCTTAGTTCAAATGCAGAGGTTGAAAGAGTTAAATGAAGAATACTTATAATATTTATAATACTATATAGCATATGTATAACATTTATAATATTATAAAGTTAGACAACGTACCCCTCATTTTCCTGTTGTTGAAAACACACCTGTACACGAATATATATTTTATGCCCAGTACATGAATATATATTTTATGCCCAATACTTTAGATTGGGGAGGAAGAAGTGTTCCGTGCAATTACACCTGGATTGGAGTGTGCATCAGTGACTGAACTGCGTTAGTAACAGTGTTACTGTCAAGTGTGGTCTGATCTGATGAAAGGACTGTGTCCCTGGAAGCTCTCCACTTTTCCCAGCTGGATTAATATGCCACAGAGATTGTCCTTACAATTTTTGCTTCTCTTTTTTTTCTTCTGTTGTCACATATTTTCCCCATTCATCAAGAGAGTAAATCATCAGTCTAAGAATGGGAAGATGAAGAGCAACAAGGCAGTAAATATCACCATTCTTGCCTGCAGGAAATGATAGTCAGCCCAGAAGTGGGTCTGCTTAAACTAGTCTGGTCCAGCACATCCTGTTCATTATAGAGGCTGATGGTGATACTAGAGTTGCCCTGCCAGGAGAAAACCTTCAAAGAGGACAAACTTGATGTGCACAACATCACCATTCAAAAGTTRCACTTTTCCTACCTCACCAGGGTACCAGACTAGCAGAAGGGATGCAATTTGTAGTGCCCCATACCAACTGAGGTGCATTTGGTTGCAAATAATCCTGATGTGTGTCATGTAAACTTGCTTTGTGGAAGGATTTTACTAAAAAACAAAAGAAGAGACTGATTCCTCAAGAATCAACCTGACTCAACAGAAAGCAGCAGCCAGGAGGTAATGCAGTTCAGCAGCAGGTTAGACACATGAAACTAGTGTAGGACGTCAGGAGCCATATGTTTCCTATTAAAATGTGCAATTCCATTATGGACAGACGCTGCATCGTGCAGCAAAGCACTTAATTAGTTCCTTCACTGCTGTGGCAATGCAACACAAGCAGGACAGGATAATGGATCCATTTTTTAACCACCTGGTCTGCAGTAGCAAATGCTTTCCCCAACCACCCATGGATTCCTGTGTATGGGTGAATCAGTGAGGTTGAGGGTGAATTCTTCATTAAGAGCGTTAGCAAGCATRATCTGGACAGGGGTTTCCATCACATAAAGTAATAGCTAAAAAGTGAAAATATAATTAATCCCACTTGCAGCATCTGGTGAGATATTTGTCAGTAATACACTGAAGCACACACTCTGCCTGAACTGGAAGATGGGGTCAACAAGAGTTGGAAATTCAGAACCGAGCTGCATTAAGCAGCTCTGTGCCTCACTAAAAGAGAACAACGCCCTTCACAGCTATTTTCTAGGGCAGGACCAAGCACACAGCCAGTGCTAGGGAAAGCAAAGAGCACTGCTGAAGCAGAGCCACAGGAACCGACTCAGAACAGCCTTTAGACTGGGATCCACCTTCCTTCTGGAGCTCCTGCTCTCTATATATTTTGGTTTCTTGCTTCCAGAACTCTTAAAGAAATGCCATACCATTAATAGCCAACCTCTCTTTATCTCTCTTTGGGAAAAGCAGGTACATAAAAAGCTAAGGTTAATATTGATCATTCTGAAACACCATGACAGAAATTTCATTGTGTAACGGACTCCAGTGAGGCAAAAGACTTTCCTCCAGATCTTTTCATTAGATGGACTGCTGTACCATAAATCACAGAATCACAGAATGGTTGAGATTGGAAGGGAGCTCTAGAGATCATCTAGTCCAACCCCCTGCTCCAGCAGGGACACCCAGAGCACGGAGCACAGGGCGGCAGCCAGGCGGGTTTGGAAGAGCTCCAGAGAAAGAGACTCCACAGCCTCCCTGGGCAGCGTGTGCCAGGGCTCTGTCACCCTCACAGAAGGGAAGTTCCTCCTCACCTGGAGATGGAACTTCTCGTGTTTCAACTTATATCCATTACCCCTTGTCCTATCACTGGCCACCACTAAGAGGAGTTTGCACCCTTCCTCCCTACATTCACCCTTCAGGTATTTATACATATTAATTAGATCCCCTCTCAACCTTCTCTTCTCCAGGTTAAATAGGCCCAATTTACTTAGTCTTTCCTCATATGATAGATGTTCCAGTCTCTTCACCATCKTTGTTGCTCTCTGCTGGACCCTCYCTAGAAGCTCCACAAGAGCTCTAGAGGCTCTTGTACTTGGGAGCCCAGAAGTGCACACAATAAATGCAGTTCATAAACTCTAAATGGATCTCTGTCGACTGTAARTGCCTGGACAGAAGGACAGGTAGGTTTCAAAGGTGAAGGAATACACTCTACTCTAGAAAAAAAAATATGGAAAAAATGATAACTTACTCTAAAATAAGAAGCTACTGTCTGTGTTTTCATACTAGTTGTTTCTCTTGGATGATGTCCGGTATCTCCAGTTTCATTCTATACAGATCAAGAAAGAAAATGATATCTCTTATTTCTACTGCGGTTGTAATGCCCTTTCCAATACCACCAAAAATATCTCTTTGGAAAATATCATTAATAAGTACTCTAAACTGCAAAAGTCACTGCATGATCACTAGCACAAAGTTGTTACACCAGTACATTGCATTACTTTGCTACCTACACAATATGCAAACACCCACACACAGGACACAATTCAATAACTGAACATCTACATAGCAGCCACAAATAACCTGGCATGGGCTGAGGCAAAGTCTGAGGTCCTATCTGTAATTTCAGCACCACTGTTATTTTCGTAGTTCTCTATGGAACATGACTGTACTTCACATCAATATTATAATCTCTCTTTTTGCTACCACAATACCATTAGGACCTTTTTTTTTTCTGACGTTGTTATAAAACTACAGCCAGAAAGARGGGAAATGTTAGTTTTTTACCTCACGGAAGGAATATGAATTGCACAACACAAAGATATCCAGCTAAACAGAAGAGAAAATAGGAGAGGGAGAAAAACCAAGGAAGGGGTTACTTGCTTACTTTTAGTAGCAGTATTGCCTTTCTAGTATAAATTAGGGCTCAATGCAGAAGCACAAAATCAATTTTCTTACCTTAGTACGACTGATTGATTTCTGGGGGGTCCACATTTGGTAACTGATAGTAGTTTTGCTTTTTGTGTGTGCCAGATTACCTGCAAGAAGATGAGARAAAACAACCTACCAAAAGGCTTAGATCTCATTTATACTGTATAGAACCACATTATTCAAGCCCCCAGCGTAACCATTTGTCTATAAAGGTTGTTGGCATTTCCTGAGTGTGTCCTTATTTCCCCTTTCACCCTTGGCATGGAATGAGCTCTKAAGAGGTTGCATGAAGATGAAACATGGACTGTATTTTTTTTCTCCTTCACCACTTATGTCATATCCTAAAGCAAAAAAACAAATAAGTACACTGCTGCAAAARTTAAACAAGATGTATCTTACAGCATTTATACTCTTTTAAATGGCATTGTACTAGACTAGCTACAAATTATGGTTTAAAACAGGGGCAAATTAAAATTGCTTCCACTTTAAGGCCTTTTTTATAGCCAACTCCATTTGTAAATGGTATAAATTAGTGTACATGGTAATCAATCTCTATGGCCACACACATATTAGCTAATAAAATGAGCTAGCATCCTCCTCTAGACCTGAAGGTAAGTGGCCTAGCATTACTCAAGTCTATAAAGCTAAATTCTTTATTTCCCACCTCTTCTAATCTCTCAGTAAAAATAGGGATGTCTAGATGTTCTCCACAGAGCTCACTGTAAACCATTCTCTCCTGAACTGTGCCTAGACATTTCTGGGAGAATCCTAGTTGTTATGGATCAAAACTGTCCAAGGGAGGCATGCCAACTATTCATCAGAATGGAGAGTCATACAGTAGTGTTTCAGCTACAGTTCACTGCCCCTAGTTTGTACACTGTACACTGTGAAGCCTTGTGAGCAACCTCTGCTTAGCTATTAGGGAGCAATACTTAGTTACRGGGGCACTAAGCCTGATGGCAGAATTTCAAGAGAAGACACAAACAGTGGCAGAATTTCAAGAGAGGACACAAACGATGCTTGCCACCTAGACTTTTTCACTATAAGCAGACTTACCCATCAACCTAAAAGGCAGGTAGGAAACTGCAAGGAACCTGATTCAACAAAGGTGCAACTTTAGTTAAGAATAATTTCAGTAGAACCAGTCACTTACTTTCTCCCCCCTTAACAACTCCCTGAGGATGCGAAAAACTTAAGTCCTCCATTTCAAACCTGGTCCCAGCTCACTAATAGCATCCCATCAGTTTCTTGCTGAAAAGGACTGTGAGAATAACAAAACAACATCAAAAAAAAAAAAAAAAAAAAAAAAAAAAAAAAAAAGTCCTTACTCTTAGATGTTAGGAGCCCCAGCCTTGATTCTCTCCTACTAAAGAGAAAAATTGCACCAACACAAAACAGGCAACTTGCATATGTCCCATCCAAAAAGAGTCAGTGACTTACCTGAAACTTTTTGTTCAGTCCTCAACTCAAGTGGTGTACTCCAGTCCCTGTCCCGTTCCCCTAACCTGAAGAGGGGACCCTGAAAGAAGCCTCTACCACTTCCTTTGCACTTGATCAGACCAATCCCTCCCCTGCAGCTCGAGATGGCAGGGGCTCCATTCTGTATAGATTCTAGGGTTGGAAAGTTAAGCCACAAAGTGTATAATATCATCAATAAATGGTCATATGAAACCCAGCAGTGGTCAGCACAAAGGCTAGAAGAGGAGAACAGAAAGATTACCACAATAGAAATACCTGTTTTTGTAAGAGGATGGGTTACTAACTGTCTTATCAGATTGTTTTCAGATGAGCGGAGTAGCAGCACAATGTCAGCTGGCAGAGTATCTCTGTTCTTGGCTAGGAATCCACTTGCATTGTACAGAACCTGTTCAAAAAGTGCAATTAGGCATCTTCTGGGCTTTTGAAACAAAACTGTAGATTTAAGCACTCTGGCTTGTAATATATCAAAAGATAAAACTTCAGCCGTGAGGCTTATTCGCCCCTGCCGTCTTTCTTTCGGTCACTGAAAATTTTAACTTTTTCATACCAAGACGCTTTATGATGTAGATCACTAAGCACTAATTTATTACCCCAAAGTAGCTTGAAACATTAGGGAAAACCTACTGCAGATGTGTTAACAATACCTTTAGCTAGGGTACATTTATCACAAGGACAAGGGTGCTATAGTACTCCATTACACCAATCCTGGTGTTAATGCACCATTAACAATGTACTTACTTTCAGCTCTAGCACAGAGGATTACTCTTGTGATTGTGCAGTCTTTCTGGCCCATTTGGATTGTGCTCTAATAGGCACAGGACTAACTACCTCTTCCTAGAGATCTCTGTATTAATTACAGCAGAAGCTTTCATATGATACAGAGGTTGCTACCAAGAAGGCAGAGCCTGCTTCTCAGCAGTGAGACATGCCACATTTGTGGGATGTAATCAGTTRGAGCTGAAGTTCTGAGGAATTAGCACTGGTCTCCCCCAGCTGACTCTCTTGCACAGGGGCAAGTTATCATCCATCACCTGTGGGTGGCATCTTGCCCCCTTACAGATCAGCTGCTGCAGAAGTGCACAGGCACAAGGTAGTTTTCTGTGTGAAATAGCAATGCCCACCCCACAGTCCTTAAAAAAGCTCAAAAGATGCTGGGAATGAACTCCTGTTTCTACAAGTCAGAAATAGGACACAGATGGCCAGCAGTATCTTCCCTTAGTGCAACAGCAAGTCCCAGCTACTCCTGAGTTTGTGATGGCAAAACACCCAGTACAGGAGGGCAAGACTGCTGACTGAATGAAGCAGAAAGCAGGGCATGCACTACCTGGCTGGTGACAAGGGAATGAGCTGGGAGCTATGGCAGATGGGGCAGAGGAGGCAGGATTTGTGGTAAAAGAGAGGGTTTGTGGTAAAAGAGAGGAAGAATGGGTCCTGGTTTGGAGCACTGGCCACCTGACACAAGGCTTTGTGGAACTAGGTGCAGGGGCACAGAGATGCATTATATAATCCTCATTTTTCGTTCTCTGGAAATACAGTATATTTACACGGTGTGATTTWAAAAAAGGCATGCTCCATTACTTCTTTTGTGTGAGAGAAAATAACTTTCTGATTTACTTTTGAGGCGTGCAGCACTGCCAACCTTTTCGTGTCAGGTTTGACTAGACGAACACTGGGAACCAACTCTGCAGTAACTGACCTGCTACATTCCCTTCCAGCCCTATGACTGCGCAAACTCAACAATTTTAATGGGTTTAACAACAATATTACTAGTCACTTACCTTTCCTGCATAATGGTAAATCCCAAAAGTTAGATCTACTCTTTTGGGTCTCCAAAAATATTTTGACCTCAAATTATCTTCAAATTTTTCTGAAAGGAAAAATATAGTTCATCTTACTGSCATCACTGTATGTAGTTATCCTCTGAAGCTAAATCCTTCTAAGAATATTGCTTGATTTCTCAGACAAATGCAGCAGCACAAAACAGACTGTGATGTTTTTTAGAAAAAAGGTACTGTGACAGTCTTGAAATAAAAGGCACAATATGGGGAATACAGATGCTCTCAAATCAGTCACTACCTTTTTTTTTTTTATTATTTTAATGAGTTATCTTTAAAAATCATTTGCTTCTCTAAACTTTTGTTCTTCAAATATAAACTATGGTAGTAATTCTTCCTAACAAACTTGGCAATTGTAAGAAAACATTTAGTTATTGGTTGAGGTGATCAGTTTCAGAGCCTATTTAATATGAGGCTCCATAGACAACAAGCTCATATAACTACTGTAGCATGGGCATAAAAAAACTTTCTTACTGGGCATTATTTGCTTTGTGACTGTATGTTGCTTAAAATCCTCATTTATGACTTCCCACATTTCAAAATAAGTAAAAAAGGATTCTTTTGCAGAGAAATCCTCTTAAAATAATTAAATCAACTGTAACAGACTACTTCAGCAGCAATGAGATATTCAGGATTTAAATTATAACATATGTAGGTGTTCTAATTTTAATTTATGTGTAGAAAACCAGGGAAATGTGATTTGCTGAAAGGTGCTGAGTTCAGGTTTGCAGTCATTAGCTTTACAGAGTCCCCAGGGTCTTGCTTAGGCGGCCCAACAAAAATATCGCAGCTGAACATGATTCAGCTTTGAAAACAATGTTGCTGGCATTTGCACCCAGAACTTTAACTCAGTTTGATCCCTGTTTTTCAAGCCCTGCAGCTACAAATTCCTGAGGGTAAGACAGTTCAAAAGCTGGATCAGCAGCTGAGGTTCATTTGTATGTGCATGTTTCTTGTATCAGTTACAAGAATGTCTCCATACCTCCATGAAATGTATTGTGAAGCTGCAATATAGGCTCATTGAAGTCACAACSAGCATATACCCTAAACTTAACTCATTAAACCAAAGTCCAAGACCTTCTGTAGCATTAGGAAATAAACCATATACTTACCCACGAGCGTCTGGTCTGTTGCTTGTGGGAATCGACTTTCCTCATCCAGTAGGGACAATAAACCCATAGGTTTCTGCAGGAACATATCTAAGAGGGGCCTGTTGTCCTCATACTCTATAACTCTGGCATCAACACCTTCGTATAGATATTCATTCTGTGACAAAGAGGTTACAAAGGGCAAGTTTTGTCCATGTACACAGAACCACTTCACAAACTGTCAATTGCACAAAATTAAAGCTCCGTCAAAAAAAAGCATATATGCCAAGAGGCTAAAAACATCACAGTTTTGCAGGAACAAATGTCAATTGCAATGTATCACAGTGCTGAACTACACATTTCAATTTGCCTTTGGATATGTAAGTTCTTCTTGTGGTGCAGATCTTCGGTAAAGATGCTTTTAATGAATATAACAGAAAAAAATAAAAATGAGGAATATGAAAATGACTTTCTTTAATCCTTCAGCAAGGCAGAGGCAAGCACAGATCTAACAAGAGAAGGAGGATATAAAGGCTGCAACCTCTCCATTATTTTTGCCTGGGTTAGGTAAAGCAATAGCAGTTACCCCCTGCCCAGTGCCACAGCTGCCTTTAGTCCTGTGCAGGCTGCTCCCCGTATGAAACCCATTATTAAGTCTTTTGAGTTTCTTTAAAAATCATCCTTCTTCTAAAGCATAAACTCTTTTATATTTTTCTATTCATAAAAGCCTTGTATTAATTTACGTTATAACATCACACTTGTATTACCCTAAAGCATTGTAAATGGAGAGTCATAAATATGTTTGATAGCTGCTATGAATTCAAAGGCCTCTAACTCAGGAAGACTTCTCGGTATGTGTCACTCACTTGAGCCTGAATGAAAGTCATGGGCGAGTGAAGAAAGCAAGAAGGTGTGGTTTGGGAAAGCAGTTAATTGCATACAACAGGAAAGCACATATTCTTCAATTTTCATCTCTAAGCCAGAAAGAAACATTTTTAATAAAATTATCAATAACATTTTTTCCTGGAAATAGAGAGCCAAATAAATATAACTGCTGATCCATTTGAAAAAGTACACAAAATATATACCTAAACCTTTCTACTATCCAGACTTTTAAGATCTCAAGTAACTCTATGGATAGACTATGACTCAATATGTGCCTAWACATAGAATAAGCAGTAAGAATTTTTCTTTCCATTCCGTATAGGCTCCCATCTCAGGCACACAAAATGTCTACCTATGTCTCCCTGGAACAGTGGACAGGTGGAGTTTTGCTTTTAATTTTAATCAACGACCTGAGTAGCAGGGCAAGATAAGCGAGTAATAAATACATCRGTGATACAAGCAAGAAGCTAATTATGTATCTGTAGGAGCTAGTGGCAGGAAGGGAACGAGTCTATGTTATCTTCCAAAGATAACACCAGAGGGGCAGCTTTACTGAGGGCTCTAACTCTACTGACACACAGATGCTTCATTGATGAAAGCAGCTGTTACTGCTTAAGATTATCAAGGACACTTAGGAGTAGGAAAAGCCATATCAGAAAACAGTCTGGGACATGCTCAAACAAGCTCTCACAGGCAACACATCAAGCGATTAATTTCGTTGAACTTCAAATGCTTGTGAGAAAGGCTGGTTAAGCACGCTGAAGGAAGCCTGCCTGGAGGTGGAGAGGAGCTCTCCAGCAGCTGCACTGCAGCAGCAATGTGTGCTCCCCTTCCCTCTCTGCCAATGTGCAGGACCTGACCTTCCAGTCCTGAAGCTATGTGACCATTCAATCTTTTGTGACCGTGACCAGGACCAGGACCACTAAACGTGCGTGGTGCTGACAGCGCCTCCAATGCTAAAATCTGTCTGGCAGGACAGGGAGGAGGTTCACCCCATCACAGGCCATGGGCTTCTGGAGGAGGGCTGATAACCAAGCCTTCCAGATACCACCGTGATGGATGACTCAGAGGAAAGAGATCCCATATTACATATTCTTACGCAATGCTAGTCTTCAATCATCACATTATGATTGAAGGAGAAGCAAGAAGAAAAATCTTCATGATGCACATCATAAAACTGTAATGAAATAGATCTTATTTTAATTAGTAAACTGAATCAGCTCTAAAATGCTGTAATCCCCAATGACAAGAAACCTCCTCAAACTAACAGCAGCTCATTGAAATTCTRAAACAAGCTACCAGACAGTGTTCCTATAGATGGGATGTCAAAAGGAACGAGTGAATATTGATACTTGGGAACTTATCTCAGTATCACGTGGTGTCTTTTTGCTGATCAAAATTGGTATTAGTTTGTGCAAACTAGTTTCACTTACTAACAAAGAAGTATTAAATGCATTAGGAAATGACCTTCACGCTTACTTAGAAAGTAATCGTATTTTGCTGAGAACGGGGTATGACGCCTCTCTGCTTTAAATGGAAACTCTGGAGACCTACTCAGAAGTAACCTTTTTCAGCTTTAAGTAGAAGATTAAATTGTCAAGATGAATGTACAATAAACACTGCAAGTATTTAATCCCCAAAGTAGCATCCTTCTGATGCTAATATTAAAAATACCAGTTTCCAACATATCTTTGATCTTTGATATTACATCTTTCAGTTGTAATGGCAGAACTGCAAAAGAGCAATGGGAATGTTGACTATGTGGACCTTGCTACTTGCAGATCATGGAGCTGGCACAGAATTAATTTACAGCAGTCCCTTACACATAAGCAGAACATTTCCTTCCGGGACAGGACCAAATGCTGTCAAAGTCAAGCTTTGCTTTAGAGTAACCTAACAAACGCTTGTCCTAGCGTTCACTCAGCCTAACCACAGACACAGAGAAGAAGTAACTGACAGCCCATGAAGGGAGAAATGTGTCTCCACATCTCCACTGGCTATATGGAATCTACATGTAGCTAAGGCTACATGTACTACCTTGGTCCTTCCGTCTGCTCACCATGAACATCATGCCCCATGTAGACTATGCCCATGGAAGATCTAGACACACTCAACTCCTGTGTGTGACAAAGCAGCCTATGAAAGCTCTGCCAACATGGTAGTTGTTGCAACGCTGGGCCAGGCTGAGATCCAAAAAAGTGTCTTAGCTCCAACTTCTGTCAATGAAACCAAAATTAGGAGCCAAATTGGTAGCTGGAGCTTTTGTGCTTTGTTAAATTTGGACTCTAAACATAAAAATTACTGGTTCAAAGGACAGTGGTGCTGAATGAATTGTCCTGCCTCCTATTGGCCCTTTAAAATCTGCATAGTGTGGCGAAATCTGTTATAAGATTAAAATGTTTTATTTGATTCAAGCAAATTATATGATGTCTTTCTCATAAGATTCAGATATAACTGATCTAGATATAACCCATAGATTCAACGTAATTACCATATTTCATTGTAAAATGGCCAAATTAAATATTTTATCACGTTTTAATCTACATAGTCACCCAAAGGATGAATTTAATTCCAGATTCTTATTTCTCATTACAAAACAGGAACAGCCTTTCCAGTTGTCACTACAAAATTAGCCTTGTGCAGAGGCAGACCACATGAATACTGTCAGCTGGAATATATCCCCACAGGCCTGGCTGAATGCCTACGGGTAGGTTATCTCCCTAACCTCAACATGTAAAATACTGCATATCTAATGCTATGTATCCTAGATTGACGAGTGCTAAAAAGCAGTCTGCTCAGGAACAAAATCACACCATAGGTTTAGCGATAGTGAATAGTGATATCATTGACATAAACACCGACTTTTAATATCATTTAGAAGAAAAAAGAATCTACTCTGTATTTTCAGCAACAAGAAATTTCGAAGTACAGCTCTGGGTATTCTCTGTAATGGCAAAATATCCTCTATCGTCTTGTATTCATTCTACAAATAGAGCTCTGGGCCATATATATTTTTTGACTGAAGAAGTATATGCATGAGGGGGAAAGTAATTATATTCCTCATGAAACCTTATTACAACAACCAGAAGGCTCCCTATGTGAACCTATTTTTCTGTCTATTTGCCACATTTTTGGCACATATTGTACATATCACTAACTTTGAAAAGACGATTAAACCCTAGAACAACCACATTAAGAGTACAATAGAGGCAGAGAATGCTATGAATAACATTCATATAAAGGAATTTTGAATAGTGAACAATTCTTGTGAACATTAGACCCAGTAGACCATTTTCAGCATTACTTGGTAGGAAACAAAAGGAGAAACAGAAAACACTTCTCGCCCTGGCTATCTGACAATCAAAGGCCTATGGCTACCTACAGAAGAAAAATAAACTCTTCCTTAGGGAAACCAGATGCTCTTTTTCTCCATTTATTGCAGTTCTCATTTACTGYATCAGTGCAACAAAGACTAATAGATGATAACATGAGCAGCCATGGCACTTTTTTCTTAGATCAGTGGATCTAAAAGTACATTAAAAAGTTTGTTCAGAATTAGTATGTCCATGTTAGAGATCGGGTTAAGAAGAAGCTCGGAGGTAAGACCTGTCCTCAGTTTCTTTCCAGCATTTTTGCACGGTGCTTTGTAAGATAGTGCATAACATACAAGATATCAGAACATGAAGCATTTTGTTTCAACAAAGAATATCTTTTAAAAAAAATTCAGGAAACAAACAAACAAAAAAACTGTATTTTTGATTCTTTATCGCACCAAGAGCCAGGAAGTTCATCAAAGGGCTCCAGAGTCTCTTGTGTGAGATGCCTATGAGATGTCTGACTGCACATGGAGATTTGGCAGCACAACCAATGGCTTGCTCAGAGAGGTAAGAAAAATATGGGCTTTTCGTTCTTTTAAAAATTCTAAAAAAGTCTGTGAGTGCCACAGATTTATAGAGTAGATGCAACATGGCAGGCACCAGGTCCCCCATCACTCCCCTTCCACCTGGGCTGGATTGAGAATCAGCTACAGCTGTGCCACTGTGAAACCTGTGATAGTAACAGCACATTCAAGCCTTTAGTCTAATCCATGAGTTGCTGGCATCACTTAACACTTCAGATTAGTACTTTTTATCCTGCCTTTATCCTGCTTTTGAGAAATACACAAAGAAGGAATGGTACCATACACCGCATTTTTGGTATAACTATCGTTTATTTAGCCACCTACATCTACATATTAAGACATATGAGATTCGTTATAAATTCAGCCAAGGCAGCTATGCCCAGGGAGCTCCTTCCTGACAGATCCTGTGGGAGAGCTCTTTGCAATTTTCCCATTTAAGGAGCAGCTTTAAATGGTAACGTAGCTCTAAAGAGTGGCTGCTTAGGGAATGCTCTAAACACCAAAGCTTTGGATCACTGGCTGCTTCCCAATCTACTATCCCCATCGCTTCTGAGGCTGTATTTTTAGCCAGCCACACTCCCCAGGAAAGCAAAGCTGTGAACATCTTTTGCTTTGTCCTCTGCTCCTATGCTTTCTGACACTGAACTGAGCTGCAGGTGTAACTGCAGCTGCAAGACCTTCTTTTGCCTTACTATGAGTCCCATGTAATTTTCATGGAATTCTTTACAAAGTTTAGATGATCACTCTTTGAGGTTTTTCATTGTCCCTTTGAAATTCATTAACTTTTATAATTATAGTTCTATTCTTCTTCTATGTTATACATCAGATTATTTAGAATCATCATAAGGTTGGAAGGGACTTCAGAGGTCATCTAGTCCAACCCCCATTAAGTTCATCATTAAGTTCATCATTATTTAGCTTAGATGGTCTTGTTCCTTAATAAGAACAATATAAGTAAGATTTCCAGTTTTTAACAGAGAATTTTCAGTTTTCATTATGCTTATTAGTAAACAATTATGAATGCCATACTTCACAAATTATGTTACCACTCATTTATGTTTTTTTATTGCAGAACCATACTTTACATTATTGTTATTCTTCAGGAAAACAACACTGCATTTGCATCAGACTGATTACTACTGTATTCTGTTGCCTAGGTACTGTAAATTTCAAGTTTAATACATTTTAAGTGGGCATTTTACATGAAAAAGCAATTCAGAAGTATGTAATAAATGCTCAGAAACAACTTGTGGTAATCTATAGTTTACCATTATTCATGGAGAAAGAACAGTGTAGTTTCTTAAGAGATTTTTTTATGTTCAGTGATCCTAACCTTTATAAAAATTTTCAAAACATACCTGTTCCCAAGCAAAGACATGCTGATTGAAGTAAAACTGAATCTGTTCATTGGCAATGTTGATACAGAGTTGTTCAAAAGAATTTTTTTTGAAATTCTCAAAGCCAAAGATATCAAGAATTCCAATGTTCAACCCATCGTCATTCCCACTGCAAAGATTAAATAGACTTTTTATTGTTGTATCTCAACTATTTTACACTGACTAGTTTCATTATTATTTCAATAGAGCAGATAATAGGCCAAGTCCATAAAGCAATTAAATAGAATGAATTTTGCTAAATCAGATTTCTCTTAAAATGACAATCAGTTTTTATTTGAAGTACAGTAACTGTACATAAATTCAAATATGACTATATTTGAAGACCAGATATACCAAATCATATAAGGCCAAAGTCAACTGACAATCATACAGGATTTACAATTTTCTTTTTAAATCAGTATCTATTAGTCATTAATCTGTTGTAAAAAGCTTACTACAGTTGAGGAACAATACATAGTTCTTTTTGTTTTTCTTGTAATAAAACAGGCTTTACTCAATTGTACCTTCAATTAGGATTGCTGAGATGAAACATTATTCCTTCATATTATTTGTCTGCAACAGTTAGTTGAAATTATTTGAACATGACATTCTGCGAATGAATGTATAGAACTTTTATGTATGTAAAAAACTAGTCTGAGTATTAAGTACTAGAGCGGYAGTACTAAGTAAGTACTTAGTACTTAAGTATTTAAGAATTTGACTTAAGAATTTTTCTTATTCTTTTTCTTTTTTTTTTTCTTCTGTGTTTTAGGGCAGGGTGGGCATTAACCTCAGCAAATACGTTTGGAAGCAACTCTCATACATTTACTTCATATTAACAGCTGTACAAGCAACAAGAAAGCTGCGATYGAGAGCATAATTTAACCTGTATAATCAACAAATGAATGCCAAGAGTTGGCCCTGAGTACTAGAAGTAAATAGAAAGAGGAAAAGGAAAAATAATAAATGGCTGCACTATAAAGATCTACTGCACTTTCATGGAATACTATGAACAGGACAAAAATCTCTTTTTTAAATAGTTGTGTCAAAATGAAAAATTATYGGAGAAAAACAAAGAACAAAACAGACTGATATCAGAGAAAAATAGAAGAGTTTAATAAAATTCTATTAAAATAGAAGAGTTAAATAAAATTAATGCTCTCATGTAAAATATAATTCCCACAGAAAATACCTTTTATTTCTGGAAATGTTTCCTTTTACCTTAAATGTTTGTCGGGCTTCAGTAAAGTATTGATGCGATTGACTATCCAACTGAAGAGACGCCCATACAGGGCTTTGGCCATGGCATCTCGGACATCAGTTGCTTTTTCCACCGTGTTGGGACGAATAATCGTTTCTCCTCTAGTCACTACACAGTGAGAGGTGAGGGCCTCTTGCAGCTCATCTGCCTGAATACACAGCAAGGAAGCACCTAGAGGTGTAAAACCATAAACACAGCTCAGAGAGAGAATTTTGAAAGAAAAATATTCATTGCTTTGGTCAAGGTTGCAAGTACAATGTTTTAGGAATTAGTCAAATCAAAGTCTTCACTTGTGACTAGTGAGAGTGTTCACAATAAACAACCGTCAGAACCTAATCTAGACACCAACTCCCCCGTTTTCACTTTAATAAGAAAGCAATTCAAAGCAAAGGTCTTGCTTACGTGTTCTAGATTGCTTTATGATAACTTCTCCAAATTGTTATGAAGAAATACTAGGGAATCTAGCTCACTAGGTCAGGAGTGTAAAAGTTGTGAGATATACATATTCCTCTCAGTTATAAATCTACCACTACAATCCCCTGCTATCTKTTTTTCTTCAGAAAAGGGATGTGTCTTTCCCAATAGCAGAATATTTTTCTATCCATGACAAGAGAACATGTAAGAAGACAGTGTGAAGTCTTCATTCCCTCCCCTCCCTATAGTTAACTGGAAAAGAACAGCAACTTCCTTGAGTATCTGTTCCCTCACTCCTCTTATGCCTCCTTGCAACCTACAATGTAAAGTATCCCTTCCAATGAATTAGTGAGCTGCATTTCAATGTGCATAGACTTCGAGTAAGTAATGAGGCTGTGGGGAAAAAAAAAGAAAAAAAAGAAAGAAAAATGTTAATGAAGTTCTTCTAAACATCTGGAGAAAGAATATCAAAGATTTTCTTTTCAGGCATCTCCAGTATTTGTCATGTTTCCTGAATGCCATTAGTTGGTTAGTAAAATCAGGCACATAATATGGAAAACTCCTTCCTCTTTTTGAATTCAGGTGGACTTGTAATTAATTCAACTTCAGCATTTAATCCTTCTTGCAGAATTTTCATGTGAATACAGTTTTCAATGATAACACTCTTGCAGTAAAAGACATTGGTTAATAAWACATTAATGGAATATAATCTTAAATATAAACACTCACTATTCTCAAGGGCTACTGGATTGGAAATGTTGCTCTTGTCAATCATATGTTCCGATACCACTGCAGAAAATTCAATGTTACCCACATTTAAAATGGCAGCCAGAACACTGTACACGCTTCCAAGTTCCTGAAAAGWATATTGAAAAGATATAAGACTTAATAACCTGACAAATATGTCACTTCATGTGACCAGCATGCTATTCTGTTGAGCATATTGTTTCCTATACCCAGAACAATCACTTTCTCTCACTTGTCTGCCACAAGCCAACTACTTCTTGAAATACTTTCTTCTGCAATTAATCCCTATTCTATATGTGGCACAAGTTTCTTTCAAGCATAAGATGACCTGAAGACTGCAAGACAAACCACAGCCTAATCTCTATTCTATACATGTCTATAGGACAGGATTGACATGGAATAGGGGAAGCACAGAACGGCAGCAAGCATCATCCTCTTACATGAAAGGAATTCAGAGGTTACTTATGTGTCTGCAGGCMCAACCTTGACCAAAATTGTTACACCCAGGGCAACAAAACTTCAAAAATCTCCATCTAGGCTTCGTGAATCCCAGAAACACCAGTACTCCAAATGACAGCTCTACTCCCACTGACATCGACAAAGAGTTTTACTGGAAGAATGAGACCCCATGTGCCTTGGATTGAGTCAGAGCCATTAACCCTTTAAAATGTCATTAGAGAATTGTGTATGCATACTTTTGGGATGTACTTTATTTACACATGTTCCTWGGTTCTACAGATTTCAAGTTATTCAGTTGGTTCCAAAAAAGCAGCTTGCCTTCACRTAAGTCTAACACACATAAAGCGATATATACAATAAATGATTTTAAATACTTTATATAAGACAAAAATCATACTTGCAAGTGAAATAATGCTTTGGTTACAGTTTTGATTTAGATTTGAACTGTGAACTTTCAGCTATGAATTTCATATGAACTGTGAACSTCTCTCTTTATGATTTCTACACTATTTTCTAAGGTATTTCTGTAAAGCAGGCTAAGTTYTTAGCTAAGAATCTGGGATAGTATATATTCCAAATCAAACAACAAGGGTGTAATTTATAAGTTCCATAAGTTTTATAGTAGTATAAGAAGCAGTTTGATTGAAGTTTGATTGATTGAAGTTTATGAGGATAGACTGTGCTAAATTCTATAGCATTTTATYCCTCATATTTAGTAGTGTGCTGGTTCAGCAACGGGCATCATTTAGTCAGATAAAATTCTCCATTGCTCTAAAAGACCTGATCTTGTTTTCAGCATTTGCAGAAGTTAATCTAGCAGTTAATAAATTAATTATTCCCGTGACAGCAAGGCAAACTAAACAAGCTTATTCTAAAAAATATATATATATATATATGCTCTGGATAATTGGCTCACAGTTTGTCTAGTTTTTAAGCAATAATTTTCACTTTAAGCTTAGGAATCCAGATGAAATGCAAAGAAATCAATAGCTTGACTTCTTTCATTATGTTGTACAATATGTATAACTGCTGACATTTTTGTGCTCTTTTCCAGCGTGTGTTAAATCTAAGTTGATCGGTCTCATACAGAATGATTCCTGCTTACCCCAGGCAGTGCTTTGCTATTAATTTTGCCATATGACCTAAAGTAAAACAGTGTGATTTGAAGACAGAAAGTACTAGCAGTAAAGTTACCATTAAAGCTTGTCAGTAAGTTAAAAATAAATTTAAAAGAAGGAAAAAAAATCACTGAGGACTGAAATTTAATTGAGGTCAAGAAAGTTCTCTCTCCAAGTTTTTCTGCTGATAAAAAACATGCACATATAGAATCTTTTCTGTAAACTGGATGAATGCCAAAGCATAACATAAAGCATTACTCCTAATRTAGTTGCTTTTGCTGTATCAGAACCTAAATGGGAAAGAAGACTTTTCTGCTCCTTCACTCTTGCAATCAATCACTCAGCTTCAGACAGGTTAATTAACTTGTGGAAAAATTGATACCTTCAAAAATCAAATATTTCAATACTTAAATAATCAAAAATTAAATGTAGTAAAATAATAGTAAACTTTAAATGTAGTAAAATAAGAGTAAACTGAGTATACAATATCCTAAAACTTAAACAGCACTACAGGAAGAAAAATAACAAGGGAGATTATTTGAATGGTTTTTATATGTGTATATATATACACACATACACAAACATATATATTATACACACACACACAYATATGTATATATTTGAACTTTTCTGAGCAAGGCACCTATTAACATTCAAAAATAAAAGGAAAAAGGAAAGAAAAAAAGAGCAAGAAACAGGCTTATTAACACTCACCTCCAGCGTAAAACCTATGACTTTGAAGCATTGTTCAATTAACTCAAACTGGGATTTATAAAAGCTATTGTTCATAAAATCTTGCACTATTCTGAAATGATCGTTTTGCAGATACCTGAAAGAGTTGACAGACACAAAGTTAAAATGTAAATGAGACTGAGAATTCAATAACATTGCAGTTCTTAGTCATCAATTTATGTAAAAATAAACTGCATTACCTGGGAGGTCTATATTCTGGCAATTTATAATGTGCCAATTTTTTCTTTTCTGCGAGGCCAGCATAAATATAATAAAAAATATGGAAATTTTTCTCTCCTCTGAAACAACAGAAACAACAAATTGGGTTAGTAATGTAACAATGTTACATTTATTGAAGCCATAGTTGCTATTATTAAATGTTATTTTAACAAAGAGCTAACAAAGTGCTCTGAAATGGGCTGTATCTCATAAGCTCATGAGAGCTGAGCATCCTTGCTGTACTGCAGTGGTTGTTTGGAAGCTGCCATTCGTGGCTGCTCTTTGCCATAACTAGGTATGGGCCACCCAGCCTTCGTTGCAACCCGTAGATGCTGGGTCAGATCCTGTCCGCGGCCTCAGCCACGATGATTATTTGGGCAGTTGAACCTGCAGATTTTGTAGAAAGCTTCTGCCCATGAGCTGTGCATTCCTGATTCGTTTAGTCCAACGTGTGCGCTGAGTCCTGTGAGTCACTGTCATTCCTACCATCCAAGTGAGCTTGGGAGTCATGTTCTCAAACCAGAGGCATGGAAAGCGTATGGACCAGCAACACCGTTGGCTCAGCACGACACAGCACTGCAGCACACGAACAGTCTTCGGGCTCCCTGGGAGTTTATGCTTCATTTTCCTACTTTGCCCTCACTCTAAAGAGCTTTGTGGCATTTTCCTGTGATTTCAGACATTTAAGCACCTACCTAAACAGTATTTGAGGCACCTACATGGTTTGATGTCTTCTTGTCTTAGCATGCGGCTAAATAGACTGACRGCAACAGAATAAACCCATGAAAGGTTAGGAGAAAGGATTCTTTTATTTTCTGAAAAAAGTTTCTGTGATTGTGTTTAAATAGAGGAAAAACAGCATTTTATAAAATTGTCTCTAGCTTAAAATTCTTAAATCATTCTAAATGATGCTTGTATGTTTTTATATCACAAAGGCAGAACAGACAACAGGGTCACGCAGAATTACAAGAGGAGTGAAAATGAGTACAAGATCAGCAAGAGGTAAAATTTAAAGCTGTGAAAAAATCCTTATTCTAAACTCTATTTTTTCTGCTACCATGACAGAAATAGAGTTGCTAAAATACTTCTACCTGAATATGCTATATATTAGGATAGCAAATACATTTCAAGAATTCAACTTAATTGGAAATGCTATTTCTATCCATAATGCCACCTATCACTTTGCATTATAATACATAAACATATGAGAAAGGATATACATATGTTCATAATACTTTTAAAATTGTATTTTATTAGATGGCCCAAAACTAAAAATGAGCACTTTGCAAACAAAGGCTATAACACTAGAGGAAACAAAGAAATTAAATCCAAAATACGTATTAGTATTAAAATCTTCGTTCAAACTTTGACCAAGAATTTTATAATTAAACGATTAATAAGTTTTAAAGTCTTTACACATTCTGATACCCTCTTTTTATATCACATAGGCATTTKGGGGGATTTAAGTAACAAAATAAACAATGAGAAAATATTGAAGTATTTTTCAGTTATCTTACAKATTCATATGCTAGTCATATGTCATTAACTAGAAAAAAAAAACCAGTACTTATTCATCCTTCTGTTTTGTCCCAAGGTTATTTCCTACATTTTAGACCTACTCTGTAAACTCCAAATTAGAAAAATATCATTTTTATACTTACACTGCCTGGTGGACAACTCTGGATTTTTCGAGGAGATACTCTGAAATTTGAGCCCCTACTACAGTGCCACCACAAGTGAATTTCATTTCCAAATATTTTCCAAATCTGCTGGAATTATCATTGATGATAGTGCCTGCATTTCCAAATGCTTCTACCAGGTTATTCACTTGGAGGATCTTCTCCTGTAGAGTCCTGTTATTAGCCTAGTTATGAAAAAGATTTTGCTGAAAGTTATCAGTAATGATCCCAATATGTCCA